CATGGCTCAATCAAAAATTTGTGTTATTTGTGAATACGAGTTCCGTCACAGAATCAATGTAGCACAGAGAGCTCAAAATATCAATGAAGTGTTTGGAAAGGATGAGGCTAATGAATGCACAGTATGTCAATGGTTTGAGAAGTTCCATTCTGGTGATTTAATCTTGAAAATGAGCCAGGTGGGCGACCTGACACCCAGGTGGATAATGATGAGCTCAAAGATGTAGGGGAAGCGAATCCATCTCAACCTACACATGAATTAGCTGCAAAGTTTGACGTTACTATTCCAACAATATTGGACCACTTGAAACAAATCGTCAAGGTAAAGAAGCTGGATAGATGGTTCCACATGAATTAAACAAGCATCAGAAGAGAAATCGTCTCGAAGCTTGCCTTTCTTTGCTGCCTCGAAATAAAGCCAGATCATTTCTACACTGTATTGTTACATCTGATGAAAAATGGATTCTTTTTGACAACTGCATGCATTCGGCACAGTGGTTGGATAAAGTGCCAAAATCAAATATTCATCAAAAAAAGGTAATGGTGTCTGTTTGGTGGTCCAGCGCTGTTATTATCCACTACAGCTTCATGAAACCTGGTCAATGAATTACAGCGGATGTCTACTGCAACCAGTTGGATGAAATGATGAGGATGCTTGCGATGAAGCAGCTGAGATTGGTCAATAGAGACAGGCCCATCCTCTTGCAAGACAATACTCAACCACATGTCACACAAACAGTGCTGCTCAAACTACAGAAACTGGACTTGGAAACTCTCGTCATCCACTGTATTCACCAGCCCTTGCACCAACTGACTACCACTTTTTCCAGGCTTTGGACCACTTCTTGCAAGAAAAATTATTCAATTCTCAACAAGCTGTGGAAAACGCCTTTCACGATTTCATTGCCACTCGCTCTCCAGGCTTCTTTGCTGCTGGCATGAACAAGATACTGTTAAGATGGCAAAACTGTGTCTATAGTTTAGGCGCATACTTTGATTAATTGTACTGCTTCTTGTTTGAGATATAAGAAACTATACTTTTGATTCAAAATTGGACATTTCATACAACAAATTGGCTGGGTGCGGTGGCTCACACCTGTAATCCTAGGACTTTGGTAGGCCAAGGAGGGAGGATCGCTTGAGCCCAGGAGTTCGAGACCAGTGAGAGCAACATAGCGAGACTCCCTCTCTATAAAAAAATAGAAAAATTAGCCAGGTGTGGCGGTGGCACACCTGTAGTCCCAGCTACTCGGGAGGCTGAGGTAGGAGGACCCCTTGAGCCCAGGAGTTTGAGGTTGCTGTGAGCTAGGCTGACGCCACGGCACTCTAGCCCGGGCAAAAGAGTGACACTCTGTCTCAAAAAAAAAAAAAAAAAATGTCCAAGCAGCCTGGATGTCCCCAAGCTAACAGCAAACGTTACTAAGTGCTTTCTAGATGCCAGGGGTTCTCAGGACTTTTTCACCTTCCTGTGACACGGAATTTTTATCATCACACAACCTCGAACAGTTGATTGAGGTACAGACCTCAATCACTGGAAGTTTATTACGCCAAAGTTGAGGACGCACCTGGGAAAAACACAGACCACAGACAAAACTGTGGTGGTTTTTGTGAAGCAGGATTTGGGACCTGAGGTTTTCAAGGGGAAAGGGGGTGGGTAGTGAGACAAAATGGTTACGTTCTTGAGAGACCAGGAAATCTGGATTTTACGTAAGAAAAGGTGAATGTTAGACAAGAAAAGTGAAGAAGTATCGATGACGCAGATGCCCCTTGGTGGGAGGGAGAATTTTGGTCTTGTCTCAGTCCTGCCCCTGAGAAGACAAACCTGTAATTCAGTAACGGTGTGGAGTGGAACAGGCTCTGCACGTCCTCGCTCACGCGCGGCCAGCAAGGAACTCCCCGTGAGCGCGCGCGGCGTCCTCCGGGTGCCGGCGCCGGGCGTCCCTGCGGGGCTGACGCGGAACGCTGGGAACCGCCGCCGCTCGGGAAAGGGGCGTCGCGTGACTCAGCCCCCTTGCTCTGCAAACGGAGTTGGGGCGACCCTGGGATTTTCACCTTCCTTAACTCATCGTGACTCACGTTTCACAGGAGTCGGAGGCACAGAACGGAAACATTCCGTTACCGAGCCAGCGTTTTTCTGGCACTGCCGCGTGGCCGGAGCCCGGACAGCCCCGCCCCGCCCTGCAGAACCAGGTTCCAGAACGCTGTGGGGCGCGGCGCGGCCGGTCAAGCCCCCGCCCCACGTCGGCCCGGCCCGGCCGGCGCCCAGACTCCCGTCGGCGGCCGCCCAGCCCACGGCCAGCGCCGGCGCCCCCGGCGGCGACGGCTCGCGCACCCGACGCCTGAGACTTCCGGCCGGGAAGCCAGGACTCTCACCGGCACGGACGGCTCAAGGCTCGGGCGCGGGCGCCGGCCCCGCCCCGGCCGATCCCAGCCAATCCGGCAAGCGCCTGGGAATGCCAGCCAATCGTGGCGCGCGCCGCTGACGCCGGCCAATGGGAGCCGCGGGCGACGGCGCGGCGACGCGGCGAGGCACGGCCATGGCGGGGCGGCGCGGGGCGCTGATCGTGCTGGAGGGCGTGGACCGCGCGGGCAAGAGCACGCAGGCCGGCCGGCTGGTGGCCGCGCTGAGCGCCGCGGGGCGCCGCGCCGAGCTGCTCCGCTTCCCGGGTGGGTGGCGGCGGCCCCGCGAGCCCGCCCTGCCCCGGCTCCTCGGGATCCGCAGCCCGTGTCCCTCCCCGCGGTTCCGGACTCCGCGTGATTTTGGCGGCTCGTCGCCTTCTCGGGCTTACGGCGCGTTCCTGTCTCGGTTTTGCTTTTAAGGGCCCGGTCTGCGTCTCCCCGCTGACGGCGCCGCCCGTGCTAGGCGGACGCGGGCGGTGGAGCAGAGCCTGTGGGTGTTCGTGGTCCGATCCCCGCGGCAGCCCGTCCCCAAATCCTGCACATGCTCCCTTTGAAGTCTCTACTTTCTGCCCGAGTCCTTTGCCCCGAAGCGCTTTCGGTCCCCGCGCCTGCGCCTTGCTGCCCTCCCCGGAGAGACTCCTTGGGCCAAGCCCGTCCAGAGATTCAGTAAAGTGAAAGCCGGCGGGAGGGACACGTTCTGCCCAAACTGTACGCTGAGTGGATGGAAAGCCTGGCCTCAGTTGCATTTGTGTTTTCCTCTTTTTTTCTAGAAAGGTCAACTGAAATTGGAAAACTTCTGAGTTCCTACTTAGAGAAGAAAAGTGAAGTGGAGGACCACTCTGTGCACCTGCTTTTCTCTGCGAACCGCTGGGAGCAAGTGTGAGAACCTGCCCCGCTGCTGCCCCCAAACCAGGCCCTTTGCCGCCTCGTGAGACTCGGTGACGTTCACAGGCTGGGGCTGAGGGTGCTTCGGTGTTTACTGGGTTCTTTTACTCATCAGTCCTGTGAGCAGCGGCGGTGTAGTTCCCAAAGAGCACTGACTAATGCTTTTTCTTCCTTCTGCCCGCCCCCGCCCCCTGCCTGTGTAACTGATAGGCTTATTTTTTTTTTTTTATTTCAGCATATTATGGGGTACAGATGTTTAGGTTACGTGTGTTGCCCTTGGTTCCCCTCCCCCCAAGTCCGTGTTTCAAATATGTCCATCCTTCGGGTAGTGCGCATTGCACTCCTTGTGTATACAAATACCCGAATAGGCTTATTTTTTTAAAGATAGTTTCAGGTATGCAGAAAAATTGATCAAAAAGTAGAGTTCCTACATAACTAGGGATTCCTTTCCCCCGTGTGCTCTCCGGTTCCCCCATTATTTATATGTTGTATTGGTGTGTTACATTTGTTACAATTGATAAGCAATATTGATACATTGTTAAGTTCATATTTTGTATTAGGGTTCACTCTCCCACCTCCTTTTTATTTTACATCATAGTAGGCTTCCTCTTCATTCAACATTTAACTGATGTTTACTGAGTGCCCGTGGTCTCTTTTCAAATGTTTTTGTTTCTGTTTATGTACACGTGTAGATAACACATGCAGTCAGAGTTTTGTTTTTTAGCATAAATGGGGTCATACCATATAAATTATTTGTCAGCTTACCTTCTAACGCTGCCTTACAGATCTCTGCACTTACACATCTCTGAACCATTCTTCCTCATTTCTTTTCATTGCTGTAGAATGTTCTCTAGAAAGGTTACTCCATGGTGCATTTAGCCAGTTTCCTGCTGGTGGACTCGCCATGATTTCCCTGGTTGCTGTTGCATGAAATCCTGCATCATCTCCTCTGGCTGAGCTTTGCGTCTTGCTTGGACGGGCTTTCTCCACTCCAAGTTTTAGATGAAAACAAGACCATTTTTACAAACTTTCAACACACCTGGAATTTATGGAGTAATTGTTCTGATTTTGCTTTTTGTAGCTTTGTAGAAAAGTGATGTAACACATATATGCCCAGTTCAAAATGAAGAATAATCCTGATTTTACTTTCTAAATAGTAATCTTATCCCAGGTACCCAGGTCTGCATCTCTCTTCTCCATCTGTTCTGCCACAGGTTGCTTATTTCACTAAGTAATACGTGTTTAAGTTTCCTGCGTGTCTTATTGGGCTTGATAGTTTATTTTTAAGTGCTAATTAATAGTCTCGTCTGGATGTACCACAGTCTACCTGTTCACCTACTAAAGGACATCTTGGTTGCTTCAATGTTTTGGCAGTTATGATAAAGCTGTTATAAACATCCACATGTAGGTTTTTGTGTGGTCATAAGCTTTCATCTCCTTTGGGTAAATACCAAGGAGCAACATTGCTGGAATATTTTTGGTAGGGTATGTTTAGCTTTATAAAGTACTGCTGAACTGTCACCAAAGTGGCTATGCTATTTTGCATTCCCACCAGCAAGGAAGCGAGTTCCTGTTGGTGCACATCCTCCCCAGCATTTGGTGATGTCAGTGTTCTGGATTTTTGCCATTCTGATGATAGGTTTGTAGTGGTGTCTCGTTTTAATTTGCATTTCCCTGAAGATGTTTGATGTGGAGCATCTTTTCATAAGCTTATTTGCCATCTGTGTATCTTCTTTGGCTAGCTGTCTGTCAAGTTCTTTGGCCCATTTTTTAATGGGATTATTTTTTTGAGTTTCAAGAGTTCTTTGTATATTTTGGATACTTTTATCAAATATGTCTTTCATACATGTTTTCTCCTAGTCTGCAGCTTGTCTTTTCATTCTCTTGACAGTGCCTCTCCCAAAGTAGAAATTTTTTATTTTAGTAAAGTCCAGCTTATTCTTTCATGGGTTGTACCTTTGGTGTTGTAGCTACAAAGTTATTGCCAAACCCAAGGTCACCTAGGTTTTCTCCTATGTTATTGTCTAGGAGTTTTATAGATTTGCATTTTACATTTAAGTCTGTGATCCATTTGAGGTTTTTTGTTTTGTTTTTAGTGCCTTAAAACAACACACATTCTTTGTCTTACAGTTCCCCAAATAAGTCTCACTGGGCTAAAAAAAAATTAAGGTGTCAACAGGGTTAGTTCCTTCTGGAGGCTCTGAGGAGAGAATCCATTTCTGGAGGCTTCCTGTATCCTGTGGCCCCTTCCTCATGTCACTACGCTAACCTGTTGCTTCAGTCCTCATGTCTGCTCTTTTTATTGAGACAAGGTCTCGTTTATCACCTGGGCTGGAGTGCAGTGGTGTCCTCATAGCTCACAGCAACCTCAAATTCCTGGGCTCAAGCAATCCTCTTGCCTCAGCCTCCCGAATAGCTGGGACTATAGGCGTGCGCTACCACGCCTGGCTGATTTTTCTGTTTTTTTGTACGGATGGGGTCTCACTCTTTCTCAGGCTGTTTCAAACTCCTGACCTCAAGCAATCCTCCCTGGCCTCCCAAAGTGCTAGGATCACAGGCGTGAGCCACCACACCTGGCCTAGTTTTTGTGAAGGTTGTAAGGTCTGTGTCTAGATTCATTTTGTTACATGTGGATGTCCAGTTTTTCCAGCACCATTTGTTGACAAGACTGTCTTTGCTCCGTTGTATTCCTCTGCTCCTTTGTGACAGATCAGTTGACTCTTGTATGGGTGTCCCTGTGATCTGAAGGTCCCAGTGAGGCTGGCTGGGAGGAATGAATTTGACTTGGCCTTCTCTGGCTTAAGTGATGTTTCTTGCTAATGTCAGGCCCCTTGTCTTTGCACATCTACAGTCTTGGTGGCTGTGGGGATGATGGTGGCCCTGTGGGTGGTTTGGTTGAAAACGTCCTTGCAGTCTAGGCCTGGGGCACGAGCGTCGGAGCATCACTTGCTGGCTTTGCCTGCCTCCTCTCCACCACCATCCTTTGCTGTTCTTCCTCTGGGCAGGGTAGTGCTGGCCCCTGCCCAGACAGCTGAGAATGCCTTTTCTTCCCCTACCTGTGTTTATAGAACATCTGGCACAATCAGTTGTGTTTGTTGCTGTTTAGTGGGGTTGCCTTTTCCATGGTGAGCTTTGCTGGGAGTGCCCATGTGGCATCTTCTAAAGAGAAGATCTAGAGCTTTTGGGAATAAAACTAAGGTTACAAATCACCCTGCTGTACTTGTTGATATATAGGATTTCTGAGTTGTGTTGTCAGATAATTTAAGCAGGACAGTTCAGGGCCTATGAAACCAGGACCAGGGCTCAGGAGCATTTTCTGTTTTTCAGGCCATTAATTAAGGAAAAGTTGAGCCAGGGCGTGACCCTCGTTGTGGACAGATACGCGTTTTCTGGTGTTGCCTTCACGGGTGCGAAGGAGGTGAGTGCCGCCTGGCCTGCTGTCGGTGGGACGCCAAAGGTGTGGGCCCAGGGCTGCGTCAGTTACAGCGTGAGTAACACATGCGAATTACTCTTTGGAGTTTTGTGATTCTCATATTCCTTTTACCCCTTTGCTAGATTAGTTTGGTTTTTATTGACAAGAGCAAACATTTATGTAGCTACAGATTGTTCTCATAGACATAATCACAGTACTTTGTACAACGTATTTCACACACGTTTTCAAAAACGGTTCATCAGCAACACTTCTCTGTGTAGCGTCTCGCTCTCCGACCCGATGTCGGAAGCATCTGGGATGCCTGACTCTTACTTCCCGCTCTCCCTCCCCGTTCCAGGAAGCCGCCGCTTCACAGGAGTAATGGTGGCGACTCTACTGCCCTTTTCTCTGCTGCTTATTTTAAAAATTTCAAATATGTGTCAGCAGAGAAAACGATAAACCAGCCAGTATTGTCACAAGCACTAGGGACCTTCTGGTCTCCTCTGTGCTACACCAGATGACATTGTCAGTTCTTTAGTAAATGTATCAGCACATGTCCAAAAAATAACTTTTTAAAGAACGTGATCTTACCTAAAAAAAGTCAGCAGTCATTCTCAGTGTCACCAAATGTTCAGTGTTCAGATTTCCCAGCACTCTCTCAAAAACTGATTTGTCCTGCTTATATTTTTATAGTTAAATAAGAATCCAATTAAAGTCCATTTCTTAAAACTCTTCTGATACATAGGTTCCCACATCTCCTCCTAGTATTACAATTGTTTAAAATTTTATTTCTGCAAGGCTACTTTGAGGCGTGTTGGGCTCTCCCATCCAGAGACTCGTGATGTCTGCTCTGCTCTTTCTCATGACAACAGCCCTTGATGGTGACTGGCTGCGAAATGATAGCCTTTTCTTTTGTAATTATTGTGGGTCCTTAATAGTTGTATAAATGATGGCCTCGTAACGCTGTCATTTCTTCTCCCTGTGTTCGCTGGAGTCCTTCCCCTGTGGAGGGTTAAGTTTGTGTAACAAGGACAGGACAAGTGGCTGAGGAGCCGTGGGCTTGTCCTCCACATCCTGCCTCCTTGTGGACGCAGGCCTGGGGGAAGCTCCCTTCCTCAGCTCCTGGTGTCGCGTGGTGTGTGGCCTCGAGTCACAGCCTTTCTGGCCACGCCTTTCCTCCAGAAATGGGGACACATCTGGAGGTTGACGGTATGAACAGGAGGGAAGGTCCCTGTGAGATCTGGCGCTCAGGGCCGGCACGCAGGTGGGAGACGACACACAGTGGCTTCCGGGACTGCCCGTCTCCTTCCTGCTGTTCTGACGGGGCGGACGCCCTGGGGCCTGTGAGTGCAGGGGCAGGGCCAGGGCTTCTCGGGGCTCTGCTCTGCACCCCAGGCCTCCTAGGCCAGGTGGGCCTTGAGGGCCTCTGTATGCAGACCATGCTCCCCGCCTGGCCAGGAGGTCTGGAGCTGCATCTGGAGGTCACCGCAGGGCCAGGCTGTGGATGACCAGGACGTGGGCCGTAGGCTGTTCTGTCTCCTCTTCTGCCTTCTGGTGCGTGTGCACGCAAAAGAAACACTAGCAAGGGACATGGGGGAGGCAACACGTCTGAGGTTTAAAAAATAAAAAAAAAACCACTACTGTGTGAGAATTCCCATTTCTTGGTACCTCACCAAATGTCCCTCATTTTTCCCCTTTTATGACTTCAAACAAAAAACTAGATCCCACTTAGCTTCCCTTCCCGGTCGGGTTCTTTGTTGGCAGAACTTCTCCTTGGATTGGTGTAAACAGCCGGATGTGGGCCTTCCCAAGCCCGACCTGGTCCTGTTTCTTCAGTTACGGTTGGCGGACGCTGCCCTGCGGGGAGAGTTCGGCCAGGAGCGCTACGAGGACAGGGCTTTCCAGGAGCGGGCGCTGCAGTGTTTCCAGCAGCTCATGGGAGACGAGACGGTGAACTGGAAGGTGAGGGTCCGAAAACTGCAGGCTGGGAACCGCTGGCAAGGGGCGCAGGGTTCTGCCCTTGCCGACCAGCGCGGCAGCTCCAGCAAAGCTGCAGCCTTCTGTCTGGTTTCCCACCTGGGGAGCCTCGGGAGCAGCCATTCGGGGGTTCCCACTGCCAGCAAATCCCAGCGTCTGCGAGGGGGGTTTCCACAATCCTGCGTGTTCGCAGCCCCTCTTCAGACACGAGTCCCAGCCTGTGCCTGTGTCTTTTGTCACTGCCGTACCTGGTCATCTCCCTGTGCCCAGGACAGTGCGTCGCACCTGGCTTCCTGCCTCCCGGGACAGTCCAGGGGTCAGCCTCACTCCACCCTCTCCTCCCAGGACCCTTGACTCTGGCCCAGGGTGGAGGCCCGAGCCGGCTGCCTCTGCTCACTCACCCTGCCTTCTCTCCCTGCTCCAGCCCTCCACCCACCTGGGCCCAGTGCAGTCTCTCTGCACACAGCAGCGGGAGGGCTCCTGGCAGGTCACCTGCCTGCACACTCTGGTTTGTGACCGCTGTCCACGCGGAGCTTAGTCCTGGAGCTCCTCGCACAGAGCAGGGCTGCGAGTCTCGCCCCAGCCCGACTGGCGTTGGCTGCAGACGATGCTGATCACACAGGTTTTCTTGTTTTCTGGAACGGAGGGCAGAGAACACCACCCTTTCCGTGAAATGTGCATTCTCTTTTGCTGTAGGTCAGCCCAGAGAGCCATGCTCGGCAGTGGCTGAGAGGTGACAGCTGGGAGGGGTGGCCCTTGGTAGGCAGTCGCCCTCACAGGATGTGGTCGCATTCTTCAGAGTGCCTTCTCAGCCCTGCGGGAGAGTCCAGGTTCGCTGTGCCGTAGGCTGGGAAGGGCCACGCTGGAGCTGAGGGCTGGGGCCCAGACCCACAGCACAAGAGGTGATTCCGGGTATGCCGGTGTTTCTGATTCACTCCTCCTTTTTTTTTTTTTCTTTTTGAGACAGAGTCTCGCTCTGTTGCCCGGGCTAGAGTGAGTGCCGTGGCGTCAGCCTAGCTCATAGCAAGCTCAGACTCCTGGGCTCAAGCGATCCTACAGCCTTCTGAGTAGCTGGGACTACAGGCATGCGCCACCATGCCCAGCTAATTTTTTCTATATATTTTTAGTTGTCCAGCTAATTTCTTTCTATTTTTCAGTAGAGACGGGGTCTCGCTCTTGCTCAGGCTGGTCTCGAACTCCTGACCTTGAGCGATCCTCCCGCCTCAGCCTCCCAGAGTGCTAGGATTACAGGCGTGAGCCACCGCGCCCGGCCCCCTCTCCTACCTTCTTTCCTTCTGGTGATCCGCACGCTGTTCATGTGAGGGGTAAGCACAGCTGTTAGGACAAATTACATCTGTCCCAAGAGGACGAGAGTTAGACCCAAAGGTGGGTTGGTCCTGCCGTGCAGCTTGTGCTATAGACCTCCTCACATTTCATGTAGACACCGAGGAGTGGCTGTCCTCTGTGCCTGTTTCCTCCCTAGTGACCTGGGGACAGTCACTGAGCGCTGGTGTTCGCTGTGGGGGGACCCGACTGCCCTGGGCCGCGGCAGGCCCCACTGCGCCATGTGCTGCGCCTCGCCCCTCCGGCAGGCCGGCACTCATCCAGGCCTACTTAGGAGAGGAGCTGGCAGTCGGCCGCCGTGTTTCTCCTGCATCTGGGAGGAATTCGGGGTGCTCTGTGCCAAGGACGCTGCCGAGGTCTAGGTTGAGAGAAGGGGGTGGGCTGAAGGACCCCGGAGGTCCTTGTGCTGTGCCAGGAGGCTCAGGTTGGCCTTTACGGAACCTGGCCCGTGGAGATCCCCGCACGTGCTGAGGATGGAAAAGCGTTGATGGTCATCCTTTTCTCCCGACTCCCGTGGGAACAGATAGTCGATGCTTCCAAGAGCATCGAAGACGTCCACGAGGAAATCTTCGCCCTGTCTGAGGATGCCATCCGCACCGCCGCTCAGAGGCCACTGGGGGAGCTGTGGAAGTGACCTGAGACAGCTGCCGCCTGCAGGAGGCCCTGGCACCCGGCGGCATTCAGATTCCACAGTTTCAGGAGCTGTTTCCCAGTGGCACCAGGGACCCCTGCAGTGGGGACATTGGCAGTGTGGACACCACGCCTACCGCGGAGCAGTCTTCCTCTGCCTTCTGCTTTATCCTGAAGATGTCACTGTATTATCGTATTTTCTTACCGAAGTTAAATGATAACTCTGAGCAGTTTCATTGAGATCATGGGAAATGGTAATCAGTTGGAATTCTCCTAAATTTCTTACAGGCACTAATAAAAATTAACCTGAAAACGTGTTTATGAAAGGCTTCACTTGTTTTTAAAATTTTACTTCATAGGGTCTTGCTGTGTTGCCCAGGCTGGACTGGAACTCCTGGGCTCGAGTGCTCCTCCCGCCTCAGCCTTCTGAGTAGCTGGGTGCAGGTGCGTGCCACCGTGCCCGGCTCTTGAAAGCTTCTCTTTCTTAGACACCAGCTGAGGACTGAGCTGGCTTTGAGTGGGAATCTCCATCCCAGGTGGAGAAGGATCCTGGTGGACCTTGGTTCCTGCCTAGTTGAGGGATTCCCACTGTGGTCGGAACGGTGGCAGCCACGCCCGCTCTGAGCCCCACGTGTCCTGGCCTTACTGGGCCCAGCCAGGCTGTGTCTGAGTGGTACCGGGCCTGTCTTCTGAAGACATGGGTATTAACTTTGCTTTATTTTCATTATAACCCTGGAGCTTTTCATTCTATTTCCCCCCCTTTTTTATGAGACAGGGTCTCCCTCTGTCACCCCAGCTAGAGTGCAGTGGTGTCATCATAGCTCACAGCAACCTCCAACTCCTGGGCTCAAACAATCCTCCCACCTCACCCTCCCGAGTAGCTGGGACTACGGTGCCACCACAGTGCCCTGCTAATTTTTCTATATTGTTGTAGAGACGGAGTCTCACCTTTCCTCAGGCTGGTCTTGATCTCCTAAGCTCAAGCAATCCTCCCGCCTTGGCCTCCCAGAGTGCTGGGATTACAGGCACGAACCACCATGCCTGGCCCCATCCCTTTCTAAATGACTCTGAGATGAATGCTTTGTTGACACTACCTGGGTTGAGAGCGGCATGGAGTGTGCTGCGGTAGAGGTCAGGCAGGGCCCCCCCACGAGGGGTAACGGCTGTGGGTCTCGGGACGACTCCTGTGGCTGGGAGACAGATCCAGGCAGAACGAACGGGCGTGACGTTTGGGTAAATCGTGAATGGAGCTTTGAGATGGGAGGGCGTCCCGGTCATCCAGGTGGGCCCAGCGTCATCTCGGGCGCCAGGGAGAGAGAGGCCAGAGATGCTACGCCGCGGCTGTCAAGGTGGAGGAAGGGGCCGTGGGCCAAGGACAGGAGGCTGCAAAGCTGGAAACGGAGAGGAAACGTTCTCCCCCAGAGCGCTGGAAGGACCAGCCCTGCAGGACGGTAAGGGTCCGAATGGCAATGTTTTGGAGCAGCCACAAGAAGCTAATGGAGGCATTTAAGAGGCTGTGACTCAAGTTCTTGGGCCCAGCAGTGCTTCCCCCTTTCCCGGCTGGATTGGGGGCGGGTCGGTGGTCAGGGAGCCCAGGATTGCCCACAGGGACTTCATGGGGCAGGGCGAGTGGATGTTCTCGCCGTCCCTGGACACGTCCCTCCTTTCCCAGCCACGACAGCCACAGCTCGCCTGGGGAGAGCTCTGCTGTTCAATCAAACCGAGGCAAACCCTACAGGGAAGCACTTTGTACAACATCCCCCTGCTGGAGAACGAGCGCTGCCATTTCATTGTCCTAAGATCACTTTTCCTCGCACTTCTTGTAGTGTCACCCAACATACGTGATGACAGATGTCATGGCGTGCGGAGAGCCAGGCTGGAAGCAGGAAAGACTCTGGCTGCCCAGTCTGGGGAACGGGCTCGCTGACCTCGGTCAGCCACATCCTGCATGGGTGACGTCACGGGCTCACACTGTTTTCCTGGAAATCGCATCCAACCCTAACTCGAGAAGAATCAATAGACACAAGCTTTGTTTTCTACTGAAACTGTTATTATTTGCCATTAAGAACTGCAAACTATGCTACTAAGAATGAACAACGTTCTCTTCAGTAAGCCTTTTTCAAAACACACAAGACAAAGCTCCCCTTTGGTCAAGGTGTCCCGCCCGCTTCCACTGCAGCAAGACCCTCCTCAGCTCCCGGCGGGTCAATGGGGAAAGATGCAGAGCGCTAAAGGAATGCGGTGTCCCGGCCTTCTCTCCTTCCCACCCAACTACATCTGAGAAGGATGAGGGAGGAAGGAGGGGAGAAAGAATATGGAAATAAATTATGTCGCCGACACCTGGGGGCTGGGGCATTCTCTGCTGCCTGGCAGGTGGTCAGCGCGGCCTGGAGGGAGCTCAGGGCCTGTCTGCACGAGCAGCAGCAGATGTGTGAGGCCCCTGCAGCCCGCCAGCCCCAGCTGCCCAGACCCTCCTGTCCACGCTCCCAGTGGGAGGAAAGCCACTTTTTCAGGACAGACCAGCGTGGCTATGGCGCAGTCTGGGGCCCAGGACACCAGGGTCAAGACATGGCAGCTGCTCAGATTAGTGCTAGGGAAGGTCTGGAATCATCACCAGCTGGTGCCTGCCCCAGCCTGACTGTCCCCAACGCCACAGTGCTGGGGTGGTTGGACCCTTTTGGCCCCAAACCACCTAAAACCTCGGTGACCCGCAGGGGCACTTGTGAGCAAGGCAAGGACAGAGAAAGGCTCTCAGGTGGCAGCGTGCTCCAGCCCTGCCTCGGGCCGGTGTCACAGGCAGAGGACCCTCCCTGTCCCTGCCTGTTGCTGGAAAGCCGGTGTGACAAGCAAGCAGCAGCGCGTGGTGCGTCTGGCAACGCCGCAACCCCCAAAGTACAAGGAGCTGTGCCCTGACGGTGGCCCTCAGGACTGTTGCTCCAGAAGACGCCCCCGGGGCACGGCAGCTGCCCGCAGCCTGGCCGTCCACGCCGTGTCCTGCGCACGTTGCCATCTGTGAGCCCCCACACGCCCCACCCCTTGAACTCTGCTCCCCAACGCCAGAGAAGCCTCGCTGTGATTCCTTCAACCCGGTCTCCCACTGAGGTAGCCCTTGACAGGCCACACTGGGCAGAGGGGACACGGCCATGGCTTGCCCTGCCCAGCACAAGCTGCCCAGTCCACAGGCATGAGGCCATGGTGGCCGTCGCTCCTCATGCGCCAACCTGCAGGTCTTCTGAGACTGGCTTGGGGAGTGCCCCAGAAATTCATGTCTGTGTCGAGCAACTTCAAACAGGACTTTTAATTCCAAACCAACCACAGAACTGGCGCCCGGGAGGAAGCAGGGCTGAACCAATGCGCTACCGCAGGGCTGGCAGTGTCAGGAGGTGAACTCTCTGGAAGCTCCGGTGGGCGGCTCCCGTGGACGTGCAGGCCCTGACGAGTGCGGGCTGGGCAGTCTGACTCCGGGCGTGAGGCCTCCAGGGCAGTGTGGGCCTCCATCCACGAGCAGAGTGGGGCGGCCCGGGTGGGGCGGGGCGCGGCACTCGGCAGGCGGAGGCTGGATGATGAAACGCGGCGGCACCGGGTGTCCCGAGGCAGGGCCGGGCTCTCAGAGGCGCCCCCAGCAAGGGCCAGCGGAGGCCATCCCCCGACCCCGGGATTTCAAAGGGACAAGATTTCAAAGTCTTCATCTTCTGAGTCAAAGAATCTTTCCAGTCGCTCTACATCAGAAGAATCTAGAAGAAACAAGATATGACCTCATCAGACGTCCCTCGTGGGCTATTTTGGGGTGTGGGGTGACCGGCTGCTGGAGAAGGGACAGACTGAGCAGTGCCTGTGCGGGGCCCCGCCCAAGGGCCGCTGTGGGAGGCACAGAGGGCACTGGACCGCCCAGCACAGACAAGCGGAGCGGACTCACTCTCGCCTGCACACATGGGGCGTTCCCGGGCCAGCACGCTGGCCCCGTGGTCCATGAGGAGCAGACTCCATCCTCACCTGCCTTGGACGGTTCTTCACAGTGAGACAGAGTGTGAGGTGGGTGTGGTCAGGCCACAGGCTTCGCTGCAGGGAACTCCGGGCTCTGAGCCCACCTGCTGCCACGGTCTGCCAGGCTAGGGCTGGCTCCTCAGGCACACTGACCACTGAGGGCTCAGTGCTACCTGTGGCTGGTGGCTCCACTGCCGGATGCGTCAGCAGAGCGAGCCTGGAGCATTCCATCTCCAGAGCCCCACGGACCCTGTGGGTGCACACCCAGCACCACACACCCTGGGCAGGGGGTCCAGTGTGGGCTGAGGCTCACACAAGCCGAAGGACCAGGATCCGAGGAAGCAGGTGGCCAACGCCACTCCCCTGGGGGACCCTGCCTGGCTGTGCCATCTGCGCACTCACCTAGGGACAGGTTCAGGACATCGGGGCAGGCCAGGTGGGAAGGCTGCTGCTCCACCAGCTCGAACATAGGCAGGGCGCCTCCACGCAGCGACAGCTGTCGGCGAGACACAGCTGTGAGACGCGGCCCCCACCGCAGAGATCCCCACACCCAGAGAAGGGGGGATGCCAGCCACAGCCATGGGGAAAGCGCAGCTGTTACCCCACTTCACGGATGAGAAAATGCAGGCAAGTTTAGCAGGAACCCCACACGGTGATCGACACACAGCACACGCCTGCCCTGCTGGCAGCTGCCTGCACTCAGATCAGTCTGATCGGCAGAGGCAGAGGGTGGTGGGCTCTGTGCATCCAGCGACCAGCAGCCTTTGGAGCAAACGCAACCCAGCAGATCACCATCACGCCCTATCAACACGGCACGGAGGGGTCAGCTGGGGACCCCGTCCTCAAGTCAGCGTACGAGGTCCGTCCCCAAGGTTGTTAATCGTGACGGGCATGACGCCAGGGGACATGCCACCCTGTTCAGGCTGCATAGCAGCGTGAGGCAGGAACAAGCCTCCCTGCGTGTGTCTCTCCAGGGGGCTCAGCTCAGCTCTGGGTACAGCGGGCAGCTACAAACCTTTTTGACTTGCTGGCACCAGTCATTGAAGTCGTCCTCAGTCTTGCAGAAAAACCCCTAAAATGAAATGACTGTAAACAGAAAGCAATACACCCGCCCCCACGGTGAGCTGAGAGGCGGGGTTTCCGCTCCCACTGCCAGGTGTGCAGACGGCCCCCCGCACACAGGTGCTGGATGCACGCCAGGCTGTCCTTGCTTCTCTGGCCAGGAAGGGAGCTCCCCGGGCCCCTGAAAGCTGTACATGGCCCTCTGGACCCAGGCCCCAGCTCTCCTTGGGCTCTGTCGCTTTACTCAGCCCTGTGCCCCCTGCCTTGATTTACCCGTAAGGTGTTAGGTTGTGTGCAAGTTGTGACTGTAGTCGGGGAAGAGTGGGGAGCACTCCCTGCTCCCTGTGGCAGGGCTGGCGGGTCCGAGACTCGGCCCCGACCCAGCCTCTGCCTAGAAGCTCAGCAGCAGAGGCCACCAAGACCGCTCTGAGGACCTGCGCGGCTGCACCACACAAACAAGGAATCTCAGACTTGCGGCGGCCCTTCGAGAATCACTTGGAAAACCATTCTTATAACCGTCTGACAGTTACTAGGAATTCTAAACACTGCCAGATTTACAGATGTCAATGTGAAAAGAAAAATAAACAAGAAGGAAAACAGAAATACGAAACGGAGGGAGAAGCTCAAACTGGGCGTTCTCTCTTCTACTTTGAAGACGCTGTTCCTACTGCCCACGGCCCTGGCACGCTCTGCTGGACTGAGGAGCCCATGTGTATTCTTCTTCCTCGCGGGTGAGGACAGGAGTTGCCCACCGTGTCCCCTTTGGTCTCGGCTCCTGAAAGTTCAGGCTGCCGCTCAAATGTGGGTTGTCCCCCACACGCCGCTCCCCAGCTTGACCTCACCGTGGGAGTGCCGATCACCGTGACACACGCACTGAATTTCGGTTAGACGAGCCACTGGTGAGCACCCACCTTCCCTGTTCCTGCCACCCTGCCAGGACGCCCGGGAGGGGCCGGGAGGCGCACGGGCACGGTGCACGCTCTCGGGTGGCACCACGTCTCAGAGACTGTCTCGTCTCAGGACCAGATTTGCCTCGTTTTTTACAGACAGAGCAGCACGTCCACGACGGAGCGTCCACGGCTCAGTTATTCGCTTCCCTAGGGATGTCAGGATGGCTGTGGCCTCTTCCCCATCAGATACATTTTGAGAGTAGACAGGTCTGTATAAACCACGCCGAGAATCCCAACTATGTAATCAAAAGGGAAGAATGAGGAAGCTCATTCCTAGGGCATCACCTCCCAGACACGTTATGACAAAACCCAGACAGCCACAGAGGTGGTGCGCAGGTGGGCCGGGGGCTGCCCTGTGTGTCTGAACAGCGGGTGAGTGCGGGGACTCTCTGGCCCACTCGAAGGCCCTGAAGGCCGTGCAGGAGGCAGACGCCTGTGGGGAGGGACTTGGGTGTCTGAAGGACACTGTTCGCGCTCTTGTGCCCTTCGAATTGCAAACCACATGTGAACATAATACTTATACCAAAATGTTGAGGAAAACTATAAAAACCTGAAGGTTTTCCCTTTCATCTAAAACAGGATTTGGCACAAAATGACTCAGAACCGCCCGCAAGCTCCCACGGCCAGGACGCACCACAGCGATGGACGGGTCGAGCTCCCCGATGCTCATCCTGCAGGGCGGGTGCTGGCAGTGGAAGCTCTCGTCGGGGATGAGGCCGCCGTCCGTGAACTCCACCGCCGGCTGCGTCGTGTGGGGGTCCAGGTAGATAAGCTCCTCCCCTGGGCAAGACGAGGGAGAGGGTGGTGGGCAGGTGGCCGAGCCACGTTTCAGACCTGCCACACCATCACCTCAAAGGGACGCCGTGCTGAGACGCAGCGGGTGAGACGGGCTGGAGCCAGCATGTCGGGAGGGAGGGAGGGCGCACAGGAGGCCGCACACCTGGCGGGCACCCGGCACCCACGGGAGCACGCTGCTTTCCACTGGCTGCCCTGAGTAAAGTGGCTCCCTGGGGTTTGGGGTGAGGCGAGGGATGGGGCGCCGCTCCACAGAACACCCTCCCCTGAAGGGCCACCCGCAGGCCACAGGGACATCGCTGCGGCCCCATGACTCACCGACGTAACCGATGAAGTAGTGGGCGCTGTTGGGCTTCCCTCCGATCACCCCCAGGGACTGGGGCATCATGAAGCAGCGCTGCGGGGAGGAAGGAGGCTGCTGAGCACCCACCTGCCAACCCCACACGGGAGGATACCGCCTGGACAGCCACAACCCGGCACAGGTCCCAGGCAGGAGCCAACGGCCCCCCACCCACTGCCACAGGTGGGCCAAGGCCTGTCGAAGCCCAACTGCGTGGCACAAGAAGGCAAATGAGAAGACGTGTTCCTGAAGAACCCACCCCACCGGCTAAGGAACCCGCACCCGCAGGGCTCTGCTTCCCTGGTGGGCCTTGGGAGCATGGGGGTGGGGGCGCCGGGAGCACGGGCCTTGCAGAGGTGCGAGTGGGCGTGTGTGGACGCAAGCAGGGGTGTGGGGGAGGCAGCCCTGTCTGACGGGCTGGGAGGGGCTGCGCTGGGTCAGGTGAGAGGGGGCAGAGCTGCGTGTGGCGGCACAGGGGCCTACAGGACGGGTGGCCGGGACACCAAAGGGCGGTCAGAGGGCTGGAGGGAGGGGATGAGGTGGGCACAACTGAAGGATTTTAGTAAAAAGCAGCATTTCAATTCCACACAGAATGACCTCAAACATGACTCGCTGGTCTAAAGTTCAAGTTAACTGAAGGAAAGCGGGTTCCTCATGACACGGGAGGGGCCTCTGGATAGAGCTTTCCCAGGGAGCTCAGTGGCCCATCTGTCACCCCCAAACCCTGCCTGCAGCCCCCCTTCCTCGAAGGCCAACCCAGCCTCCACAGGGATGTCAAGCTCAAGGAAGTGTGGGGAGGGCACCAGAGCACACAGACTCCTGGGGACCCCATCGGGTTCCTGACACCTTAATCCTCATGCTCACCAACTCGGTCATCACGCCCGTGAGACCAAACCAGAGGGCCTCTCCTTGTCGGACGTGGCTCAGGTCAGGGGAACCCTCTGTGAGCTCTGTGAACGTGGCTGCTGACTCCCCGGAGAGCCAGCTGCACAAACGTGGCTGAGAACCAGGAGGGGAGCCAGGGCAAGAGACGCAGGACGCACCTTCAGCGTCTCCACGTACGCCTCGTTTATGTCTGTGAGCCCCAGGCGCAGCGGGATGAGCAGGACCAGGGGTCTCCACGGCGACAGCCTGGCGGTGACCTCCGCTCCGGCAGGGAATCCGTTGCAGTGCCGGTCGGGATCTGCGGGAAATGCGGCGGCCCCGGCACAGGGAAGGCTGGTCCTGCACAACCTTCCTAGGAGGGAAGACATGCTTGATAGGCCAAGAGAACCGGGCAGAAGTTCTCCCCGACGAAACAACGCGCCATTCTGTGACAGAAAAAGGGCATTACAAAGCCAGGTACTTAAAATACAATTCAAACCTGCATAAGAAAAATTTTGCACAATCCTGCCGCCCACAGAGAACATTTTCTACGCATACTCAATTAAAAATCTTTATTGTGAAATAAAGCACACACACAAAATTCATGTGCTCTTTAGAGGAAAGTAACAAAATGAGCACCCATGTCACCCACCGCTCTGGCCACAGACGGCTCACGCGGGTCCCCGGATCCCCTCTGGGGCCCTCCAACAAGAAGGCTTCGAGGAGTAAGGATGCTTCCTCCTCTCCTCACTTCCTGTCTGGATGCGCTGGGCAGTCAGTCGCTCAGTCAGTGGTGGAGACAGCGTGGGGCAGTCCCCGCGCCCGGCCTTGGTGTCTAAACACCACTCCCCGCTGCAAGGAAGCAGGGCAGGCAGCTGCGGAGGAGCCTGGAGCCTCTCGTTAAGGCCAGAAAGCGAGGAAGTGCTCAACGCACACACGTGACAGGAACACCTCAAAAGGCAGAGCCAGCCTGAGGGGGCCCCTGGCCAAGTGTGGGGCAATCGACCACCGAAAACGTGACGGTGACGAAACACGCCGAGGAAAAGAGCCTGTGAATCTGCTGACTCGGAAAAAGTTTCTCAAATTTAAGCAAGAAGGGGAAAGGGGCGAAAAGGAGGCTCTTCTCACGAATGCCACCTGACAAACGTGGAAAGAAAGGATGAGTTAGAGGAACCACTGTCTTCCGCCACGTATGTCATCAACAATTTGGGCCAAACTCACAATGCGTATTAGTGTCACCCTCAATTACTCATTAGTTACAAGGGAAAAGAGACACCACCTTGCTTGGGTAACCCAACAGTGTTGCTGACGACAGGTCACACCGACGCCACCGGCCGACGGTGCGCCGAGGGACACGGGGACGACGGGACACGCTGACGCCACGGGCCCTGACGGTGCGCCGAGGGACACGGGGACGACGGGACGCGCCAACGCCACGGGCCCTGACCACGCGCCGAGGGACACGGGGCCGACGGGACGCGCCGACGCCACCGGCCGACGGTGCGCCGAGGGACACAGCGACAACGGGACACGCTGACGCCACGGGCCCTGACGGTGCGCCGAGGGACGCAGGGCCGCCCAGGCTGACTCTGGGCCACGTGGTAACCCAAAGCCAGTCAGGAGGCAGCCAACAACCAGCATGTAGGACGTTCACCTGGCCTGGATGCTTGTCAACACCAGGAAAGATCCAGAGAGAAAAGGCAAGACTGTCTACACTCAAGTCGACCAGCGAGGTGTGGCCACGATCAATACACAACACTGGATCCTTCATCAGGAAAACAGACAGCCACGCGGCGAGTCCTTCCCGGGACAAGCGCCCACAACAGCAGCGACGCTGCCTTCCTGACTGTGATGCAAGGCCGTGTGGTTCTGGAGGAGGGTGTTCTCCCTCCTGGGAAAGGCTTGCTCACAAAAACAAAGCATGCACGTGTGAGAAAGCAAGTGTGTCAAAATACAGTTGGGGATCTAGGTGGAAGGTTTATGGCTATGATCCACTGAACTTATTTTTTTTGAGACACAGTCTTGCTCTGTCACCTGGGCTGGAGTGCAGTGCCGTCAACCTAGCTCACGGCAGCCTCAGACTCCTGGGTTAACTGGTCCTCCTGCCTCAGCCTCCTGCGTAGCTGGGACTACAGGCGCACACCACCACGCCCGGCTAATTTTTTCTGCTTTTGGTAGAGACAGGATCTTGCTCTCGCACAGGCTGGTCTCAAAACTCCTGAGCTCAAGCCATCCTCCTGCCTCGGCCTCCCGAAGTGCTGGGATTACAGATGTGAGCCACCCCTGGCCACGGGCTGGTGCTTTATTACTACCATAGCTCCCCCCATCTCAGGAATATGACTGGATGTGTGGCTTGGCTCCAGGGTGACACAGAGCAGGACCCCCCAGTCCTGCACTCCTGGAACTCACTGTGAGTGTGGCCTGGCGCTAGAAACGCCCTGCTGTGACTATGGCAGAACAAGCTCTGTCCCTGGCACCACCTGTGACTTTCCTGTGCTCCCTTCACATTAACTACTTCAATGTCTGCTTCTCCATCGGTTACAACAATTAAACAGAACATACACACCTCATGAAACTAGGCCCCTTCCTCAGAACTCCAAACGCTTCCTGGTAGCACCTGGTGCGGCACGAGGGGGACGCGCAGGCCAGCTCCACGGCCTTTTTCCAGAGCAGCTTGGCACGACTGCTATCGTTTGGATGCTTACAGAAGTTTCTCCTCATTTTTGCAATTTGGAAACACCACCAAGAGCAAGTATATTTAAGTCCTCTTGATAAAAAAATTGGGGGATCTTTAGCTGCAAAGACTCAACTCTCAACAACGCAGGGGAACTTTTTCCTTTTCCTTCAGCGTCGATGCTGTTCTCACCTCCAGAAAAGCTGTAACTCAAGCTCGGCTTCCAGCCGCCTTTCCTCTGACTCTCAGAGCTGCCTCAGCTAGAGACCGCTCCCCGACTCTCCCTCTGAGTACTCTTGCACTGGTGTTTAACTTTCTTTCTGGGGTCATCTGTACCCACTGCCAGACTAATGCCTTTTCCACTCTGTATTTTCTCCCCACACCTGGTGACGTTCCCACAGTCTGCTGTGGTTAGAAAGGTCCAAGTCCACCGACACTAAGGGCCAGCAGAGCCTGCTGCAGACAGCCTGCTGGCCTTCCACAGGGCCGACGGGTGGACAGGTGGGTGGACAGAGGATGGACGGTGGTGGAGAGACGGCAGTGCGGATGGTCGGGGACGTCTGGGCCTCCCCGTGCCCAGCACACGCTACCTAAAATCTGAGCGGGATCGTCGTCAGGCAGCTCTTTTGCCGGAGGAAGCACCTTTTGTGAATTTTCTGAATGTCATCAGTGTTTTCCTAACTGTTCCTTCCACAAGCAGTTCTGAGAAATCGGAAGAAAAAAGTCCTTGCTTGGCCAAGGAAATGTTTCTCCAGCTTTTGCCGTGCTGACTTCTCTCCTAGGCCTGCTGCCTTGGGCAACTTTTAACACTGGGATGGGGGAGCAGCCCCTTCCTGTCTTTCCTGGAGGCCTCCCTGCCTCTCTCCTGGGGCTCCTGAGGCCAGAGGCAATGGGTATGGGCCCTACAGAATAACCTGCAGTAACCCTCGCCAGGCTGACTGCACTTGGGGCCTGCTCGTCAGCCTCACTGTCCTGGCTGGTTGTGTTTTGATGCTATTCTTCCTAAACGCGGGTGTCTCATCTGCCACTTGTTCCTGAGACGAGTAGGGTCCTTGCTGACTAGGGCAGGGGAGGGTGATGTCTGCAGTGAGACCGAGCTGACCACGGCCAGGCAGCTTCCCACATGTCCCCTTGGAGCTGTTAAAAATGCAGACTCAGGGCTGGACGTATGGCTCACGCCTGTAATCCGAGCACTTTGCAAGGCTGAGGCAGAAGAATTGTTTGAGACCAGGAGTTGGAGACAAGCCTAGGCAGCAGAGTGAAACATTATCTTTACCAAAAATAGAAAAATTAGCTGGGCGTGGTGGTGGCACCTGCAGTCCCAGGTACTCAGGAGCTGAGGCAGGAGGATCGCTGGAGCCCAGGAGTTGGAGGCTGCAACGAGCTCCGATGATGCCACTGCACTCCAGCCTAGGCAACAGAGCGAGACCCCAGTCCCCCCCAAAAAAAAAGCAGACTGAGGTTCATCCCCAGGACCTGACCCACCTCCTCCTCGACAAGTCACGGTTCCATCGGTACAGCTCCGGACGACCCCAGGACTCCAGAAGAGACTGGACCTGGGGTCCAAATGCAGTCAAGCTGCCCCCACCACAGCTCCCACCGGTGCCACGTGCACCCAGTGGGGGGACTCTGGAGCCTGTCCCTCGCCCCTTCCCGCCATCGCACCCGGCAGCCAGCCTCCCTAGTCTAAAGCCAGGGGTGAAGTGTGACTGGCTTAGACCCTGAGGGTGGGTGAAGGATCATGGGGTAGGTGATTTTTCCAACACCCGGGGGAGGGACAGTGCAGGGAGAAGTTAGGGTACAGTATACAGTACATCGTGTAGACAGTTAATAAGGCGGTTATAATGTTTTCATTGCCAGGAGAAAATGCTTGCAATACTATGTAAGTTTCTGAAAAGCATGGAAAAGTATGCTTTTCAAAGCATGGAAGAAAGTACGTCAAGATAAAGTAAGAGTTATTTCTAAGTGGTAAAGTTAGTGTTTTCTTTCTTTGCACTTTTCCTTAGTTCCCAACATTTTACAAAAATTTAAAGAAATAGAATGGAGGGAGAAGGCAGAAAGAACTACACGCCCTTCTTTTATGGTCCCCGGTTCAACTCGGGGAACAGAATTACTAAAGGAAAGTGCACTACGGCGAAGAGTTTCAAGCTGCAGAGGTCAGTGCTGCTCTGGGTTGGAACGTGGCGTCCCTGCGCCCTCCGGACATGTGCCACAACACCCCAGAAAGGCCAGGGGGTGAAGAAACGGGGTAGAGAGGCCCATCACTCTGGCAGGGAAGTCACACGTCTGCAGCCCAGCGGGCACACACGTGGCAGCACTCCACACCCGCGGTCACCTGGCAAGACCCACCTTCCACTGCAAACCCAGGCTCTCTTAGGGAGTCTCTCGATTTGCTCTTTCTTAAGTAAAATGGATTCAAGGCAACAGGCTACATGTAGAACTTCGATGAAACTGGGGTTGAAGCAGCTTTGAGAAATTCTCTGGGAAAAAGGTGCTGCTGAACGTGCTGGGGCAGCCAGCAGCGTCCGTCAGTCTGGCTGTGTCTTGGCATGCGAGATATGAATTTGGAACTCATTCAATGGGCCACTTGTTAAAACTGAGCCATCATTTTCTTCCTACACACGACCTTTAGCATGCCTGGGTTCCTTCAGGTTTCTAGCGGACCTTTCTTCCAAAAAGCTGAACAATGTTCTTCCTTCATGATACACCTTTGTTGGAGATGACGTAGCTAAAGAGTAGTTCTGCATTTCTTTGTGGTACATTAACGCATACAAAGGAATTTAACCAGAATTCCTGCATGAATGTAGCTAAATGCTTTATTAGTTGGAATGAAGACACAAAATGACATGGGGTACTAAGTAACTCACCTCTGTAGAGAATCTGGGCCCTGCTCTCTTAGCCTGGTCTGCACGGCGGGAGAATGAGGTCGCCAGGTGTCTGGCGTGCCCCCGGGCTCGCAGAGCATCAGCACTGCTCCAGGAGACTGACCACACTCTCGCTGAGGCCCCTTTGTGGGCTCAGCCCAGGAAGAACATGGGTCACCCACAACTCCTGCTTTCTTGTCAAGCGAAGCTCTGAACCACTTACTGATTTCCTCCATCACCACGGTGTTGTCCATCGCTATGTGAACTGCCAAGGAGCTCCACGTGTCGAAGACAGCAAGCTTCCTACGGAAAGTGGGAGGAGAACATGCCCGTAAGCTTTTTTACGACCCGAATATATTTCATCTGACTGCGACGACTGCAGGACAGAGCGCTGCAGCGTCGGAGCTGCTTCTCAGACGAGAAAGACCAAGACTCAGAAGGTCGAGGGGGACATCCAAGGCCACAGATGGGAAGAAAGCTGAGGCTGGAACCTGTTTCTTCTCACCCAGGCCTGGTGTTCCTTCCAGCCCCCAGCTGCACGTACAGAGAGTGCACGACAGGCTCACGTGCGGCACAGTTCCTGATCTCGTCGACACACAGAGGCAGGACTAGAACGTGAGCCCAGTCCTTGGATACTGTCTCTCCGGGCACAGTGGTGCGAGCCTATAATCCCTGCTACTTGGGAGGGAGACTGAGGCAGGAGGGTCACTTGAGCCCAGGTATTTGAGACTAGCCTGGGCAACACAGAGAGACCCTGTCTTAAAAATATGTAAATAAGAAAAGAAAATCTCATCACCAGGAAATAAAGGGAAACTTTTTTTTTTTTTAATTAAAAACAACTTTGAGGCAGGCCTAGCCTAACCTTATTACGCATGCACACTCCCTCAGCCCCTCAGCCCCTGCTCTGGTCTCCCCCTGCACCAAACACCCTGAACTAACAACCAAGGAGTTCGGTCCTTGCAGAGAACGTGCAGCCCAGCAAGAGCACCACCGTAAACGACCACGAGCAGGAACTGTGGACAGAGGTGCAGTTTTGAGGAAGAGCAGACTCTGTAGCCAAAGCCAACGGGACTCTAATCCTGGGTGCTGTGGAGGTGGGGTCAGAGGATGTAAATAAAAGTGAAAGAACAGAAGAGCAAGGAGGAATGTTCCAGACATAGGCACAGCTCCTGCCAAGGCCCAAAGATAGCGAGGACCGGCATGTCTGGGGACAGAATGAGGGACTTGTGCCTGGGGGACATCGGGCGACCACGCAGAGACCTTCCTGAGGGGAGCCCAAAGCAGCTGCCACGAGAACAGCCTGTTCCACTGACCGCCTCCCGCTCTCTGCGGCCCGCTCGCTGCGCGGAGGACACGCTGACATGCCCGAGGCTGGCATTCCAGGGGCGGCAGACAGAAGGAACCATGCAGGGCAGGTCCTGAGTGCTACACAGAACACAGCAGGGGCCGGGGGCCACCACGAGGGTGCTGGGGAGATGCCAGGCCAAGGGCGCAGCACACGTCCAAGGAACACAAGGTGTGTTGCGCCGGGGAGGCCAGACAGTGCACACCTGTTGCGAGTCAGCTGGGAAGTGCCAGGACTGCTCGGGGCACAGGAGCGATGGCCGACACGTTTTATAAAAATGGCTCTGCTGCCACTTGAAAACGAGGCTTCAGGATGGCAAAGAGAGAAGACCCACAAGAAGACAAGAAATGGGCGTGGACCAGGGTGGGGAGCGAAGAGATCCTTCCCGACGGGCGTGTTGAAAGAGAGGACTCTAGAAAGAGCCCAGATGTTGACCTGAGTGCCTGGAAGGGTGTCTGAGGGGCTTCGAGTGGGGACATGGAGCAGGCAGAGGCACAAGGCAGGATTGGGAGCAAAAGTCTCAGCTGGTGACAGACCTGGGAGTTGTTGGCCCTCAGCCTATCAGGGAAGAGGCCCTGAGCGGGCAAGACGTGGGGGCACCAGCCCAGAACCGCCCCCCAGAAACGTGGGGGTGCCAGGGCACGCAGCCAGACACGTGGACTGAAAAGTGGCGAGTGACCTGAAACCACCCTGGGTTCCCAGCAATTGCAGGAAGAGCCATTTCAGAGGACTTCATGGTGGTGGGCAGGAGTGGGGGACGCAAACACCTTACGGCTACGGACCCCAACACCCCGGGCCACACAGCAGGAGGTGAGCAAGTGAAATTTCATCTGTATTTACAGCTTTTCCCCATTGCTCGCACCACCGCCTGTCAGATCAGTGGCATCAGACTCACAGGAGAACCTACTGTAAACTGCGCGTGGAGCCATCTACGCTGCGGCTCCTTGTGAGACTCTGCCGCCTGGTGATCTGAGGTGGAGCTGGGACGGTGATGCTAGCGCTAATCTGATCAACACAGATTATCATTAGCAGAGAGGTTTGACTGCACAGAGACCATAATAAATCAACTGCTTGCAGACTCACGTCAAAACCCTATCAGTGAGTGGCAAGTGACAATATAATAATAACAGAAATAAAATGCACAATAAACATGATGCGCTTCAATCATCCCAAAACCACCACTCCCCGCCTGTCGGTGGAAAAATTGTCTTCCATGAAACTGGTCCCTGGTGCCAAAAAGGTTGGGGAACCGCTGCCTTACGGAACAAGTGAGGTGAGAGAGGAAGGGGGTGCAGGTGAAGCTTTCCAACATCAATCACGTGGGGAAGGGACGACAAGAGGTGGGGTCCAGGCAGACCCCAACGAGGCAGGCAGGGAGGGAGGGAGGTTACAGCGGAGTTGCAAGGACCGTGGGGAAGAGGGTCAGAACACCAGGGGACACCAGCTCTGATACGCGGGCAGAGGTGGAAGGGCCGCGGCGCCTGCATGGATGGCTGCCCTTCCCCACAAACTGCAATGGCCAGACCAGTTCCACCTTCCCACAGCCTCAGAAGCCACCGCTACAGAGGGACCCATGAGATAGATGAGGACCTGAACCAATGGCTGTGACCGGATTAAGGGGCTCATTTTACTGGAAAACACAAGTGCTGACGCACAAGGCCTCGGCCTGCTCACCTCTGAGGAACTTCCCGAGGGCCCTTAAGAACAGGGACCTCTTCTTTTCTTTTTTTTTTTTTATTTCAGCATATAATGGGGGTACAGATGTTTAGGTTACGTATGTTGCCCTTGCTCCCCCTCTCCCCTACCTCTTATTTTCTTTAGCAATCAAGGCTCAAGGAGAATTTAAACCCCCAAGGAACACTCACGCTGTCCCCAAAGAAACAGAAGGGTTGAAGCTCAGTACATACCTGAGGACCTGGGCGACGGTGTTCGGCCCGTACCACTGGCCTATAGACTTGCCTTCACCGACTCCCATTTGTGCTGCAGGGAACAGACCTGGATTAGTGACACACATTCTGCCCCAGTCAGCCCACCGGTCCCCATCCCCTGCCTCTGGTGGCAAGTGGCACCAGGAAACACTTCTCAGAAGGCCTGGCCAGCCACACCCTAACCTGCCTCCAGACAGAGGGATGAGCCAACAAGATGCAGGGACACCTCCTCTAATAGGGAGTCACGAAAGGGACAGACAACATCCCAAGGTTTGTCCTTCATTAAGAACTTAAACAAGGGGGGAACTGAGGAAATGAAATGATCTATGTGTAAGTCACTTGGGACTATACTTTCACTTCCTTCTGTAAGTGAGGATGTAATGCTCAAAAGCTGGGCTTGCCTGGAACAAAGGCCCGCTGGGCTTCACTGCCTGCTCTTCAGTCTGAGCACTCGGATACGCTGACAAGGCACAGAAGGCCTCACAGGCGGCGGGGGTGGGGGAAGGGGGAGCGAGGCCCGGGGTCTGAGCTGGCACTGGACCACCCGCAGCAGCCCCCCGGCAGTCAGAGGCCAGTGTGACCTGCAACCTCGTGCTGCACACACCACAATACCAGAAGAGCTCTCCGGGAAGCCCCATGCCTCTGCCCTTTCTCAACGCCCAGGACGGGCACACTGCGCAGTCTCCCACCTATCTGGTGAATGGAGTAGTAACTGTCCTTCCTGTCAAGGAAAGCGTTGAGGACGCTGAAGTAGCTGTCTGGCTGCCTCTTCCGCTGGGTCCACCTCCAATCTATTGGAAAAAATACAGGTCAGTCCTACCATAAACAGGAGAAACAAGTCTTCACTTTTAACAAAACACTCAAGATACAGATGGTATCCAAGCCTTTTTTGAGTCTTTCTAAAGTTAAAAGCCAAATTCTCCAGGATTTCAAATATGCATATGCCAAGTCATCAAAACAAATCCATACAAAAAGCAGAAAACAGTTTCAGTGGTTTAAAGGTAATTTCTAAAAAATAAACACTTACCAGCATTCTTTAAAGTCAGATTTTTAATCAATAAATAAAAATGGGTCATTACTCAGGGAAACCCCAGACTCTAATCTGTGTTTTACCCATGAAGTGCTTGAAACAACCCTTCCCCTTGGTCCTCTTTGCTTCCTAAGAACACTGTGGCCGCGCGCCCGCCCCGTGGCCGTGACTCACCTCGACCTAAGTGCCGGCACACCAGGGCCTGGGCGAAGATCATCTGTCCACACCGCAGCATGCAGCCCCAGCCCGTGTCCGAGGTGGGGCCCGTTCCCCCTATCGTGGCAGAGAGACAGTGCTCGTGGTCAGACGGCCCAATAGAGGCCAAGAGCCCACCAGCAGGAAGCACTGGTCGGCCCCACGCCGAGGCACCGACACCGCCGTCCATCGGCTCTGCCTCTGAGGACTCAGTAACGCCATGGCCCCATTTGCTGGGGAGTGAAGCATCCTGATGGCCTCCTCAAAATGGACAGAACACGCAGGCAAGTCAGCCACGGAGCAACAGGAATGTCTGGCAGACACACAGAAAGATGCTGACCCTCATGAGTGATCCAGAAAATGCAAAGTTAAACAATTAGAATCATTTTCCAACTGCCAGAAAGGCAAAGATCCAAAGGCACTCGTGTTGCTGAGAGTGCGGGCAGGGCCACGCTGAGCGGTCAGCGACTCAGCCCTCCAAATGCACACCTGGGCCCGGCCACCTCGCTCACTGGGGCCCAGACAGACAGAGGGTGCGCACTGTGGAACCATGTGTAAGGCGGCAGACCTTTGGGAAACGCCCTGCCAGCCGACAGCAGGAGTCCAGTGCCTCGGTGCTGTGCAGCCTGCACAGGGGAGCAGGAGACCACCCGTGTAGGCGAGAGGCCGGGTGACCGCACATTGTGTGAGGAGCAGGATTCAGGGGTCGGGCCACGAGGGTTGCAGTCCTGGCCCACCCTTTACCCATCTCCAAGTCCCTGGCACCTCCTCCCACACGTAGGGGAAAACAACGAACACTACCTCTTGGGGCGCGCATGCACGCGCGCGCACACACACACACACACACACACACACACACACACGCACACCCATCAGCAGCGCCTGTCATTACCTGTCATTACCCTCCCTTCACTTCTGACAAAAACAAACCATTTCTCAGAGCCAAGCGCAGTAGGCCCTGCTACTTGGGAGGCTGAGGCAGGAGGATTGCTTAAGCCCAGGAGTTCGAGGTCAGCCTGGGCAACATAGCAAGACTCCCATCTCTTAAGAAAAAAATTAAAAAATTATTAATTTAAAAAACCCACCAAATCATCTCTGCAGAGATATGGAAGGGAACGCACCACACTCGGCCTCTAGAACCACGATGGGCTGCTTCATCCGCATTGGCAGCTCCTCCACAATGCCTCTGCCAAGGTACAGCTTCTCTCTAGCCCTGTTTTCCCGCCTAGCACCCTGGCAGAGTTGTTTCGAAGAAGACAGAGGCTGGGAACTAACCTGCATCCAGGGCTGAGCAGGGGCAGGCTCAGAGCAGGTATGAAGTAAGTATCTGCGGAATGAACAACTATTTCCAGGGCACACCTGCCAAACAGTGCCATTAAATGTCAACCTAAAGGGATGAGCATCTTCTCTCCCTACATTTCAGTGGTTCTCAGATGTCAAGCCGTTGTGGCTATTTTACTTCCACTTCACTTTGGAGAAGGAATGAAACCACATCTAGGAGAAGAACCGAAAAGCATGACTCAGCCACTGGGGAGGTGCAGAGTCAGCCTGGTCCCCATCCTCTGACCACCCCCAGCGTATACAACGATGAGGAATCTTGTTAAAGGAATGCACCTTAGTGTTAAGGAACGACATGTCAATTACCTTGCCCTTCAAATCTCCCCACAGCTAAGTATGGAACATACTAGAAAAGATGGATAGAAAACAGCTTCTAAACATTCTTGACCTACAGTAAGAAACACATCGTACAGCCGTGACCCAGGACATACACTCGGATACGTAAACTGAAACTAAAATCTCCTGAGCAACGTGCTGTCTTGCCAGGGCAAATACATTCTGCTTCATATTTTGTTCTGTTCTACAGTTTAAAAAGTGTTAGTCACGACCCGTGATATTGATTTCAGGTCCAGTAATAAGCTGTGACTTGCAATTGAAAAAACACTGCCCGAGGTAGAATCAGGAGCCTGGGTTTGGATTCTAGCTCTGCCACTACCAGGAGTGAGACCTCAGCCGATTAACTGAGCCACGGTTGCTGTGAGGATTAAAACAAAATATCTGGCATAGTGAAGTCAAAACTAAGCATGAATTTTCCACCTTCTTAACACAGGTATATTTTGCTACACATTGTAACAAAATGGGATACTTACCAATGGCTGGAAAGTTTTTCCTGTATGTAAACCAAAGTCTAGATGCCACATCAGACAAGATCTCGTCCTTTTCTGGAGGTTGTTTAAAAGAAGAAAACACACACACAATGCCTTAAGTTCATAAGTCACATGTTACAGAAGAGTTGGCAGAAAACTATCATCACAAAATGCTTTTTGCAGACTGAGCAGTCAGAGCAGAGTGGGCTCCAACATGGCTGATACCTGTGAAAATGCTGTATTTTCTACCCAGTATCCAAACGGGCTCTGAGGTCTCAGGGAAATCCTCAAATTCAGCAAAGCGGAGAGTGTCGTAGGTCAGAGTAGCTGTTGAAATCAAAGACATCCATCCATCAGACTTTTATAATTTCATAAAATAATATCAAAAGACATCATTTATGGCATTTCTATATTTGTTTGTTGGTAGAGACAAGGTCTTACTATGTTGCCCAGACTGGTTTTGAACTCCTGGCCTCAAGTGATCCTCCTCCCTTGGCCTCCTAATGTGCTGGGATTACAGGCGTGAGCCACTGCCCCAGCCCATAAGCATTTCTGTACTAAAGGAGAGCATGAGCGTAAATTCTTGCAACAAACGGCACACCCTGTGTTCTTAGTGCTACCACGACAACATCACTGCTGAAGCAAACGCACGTGAACACACAAGAGGGCCTGTCAGGTAGCTGCTCTGCCAGGGTGTGGGGGTGGGGAGGTGGGCCTGTACCCCACTTCCTCAGCCTTACAGATCCTAAGCCGCTGAGTCAGTGTCCAGCAGCTGACACAAGGGTGAGAGACCAAGTCAGAGCCAACCCAAGGAAAGAAAGGAAAAAAAAAGCCACCTGATCCAAGCACTTAATTGTTTTAGACTTAAAATGTTTAAAACCCAGAAGACAAAAAATGAAATAAAATCATTCCCTTCATCTTTGTTGGTGAGGGAAGCCACAGAACAAACGAACATGGAGCAAGCATCCGTGTGTCCTGAGGTTTGCAGATGTCACCATGGCAGCAGGTTCGGAGGCTGTGATGAAGGCAGATGCTTCAGGGGCAAGAAATACTGAGCTTCCAAAGACTGGTGGTTACGGCCCACCCCAATTTCCTGGTTAGGAGCAGATAGCTGTAGAGGGATGGGGTGCTACTCCTGGGTGTGCACTAACTCCTAGAAACTAAGAGGTGAACCCCTCTGCAAAGTCCCCAAAGGTGCCTGGGTGCCAGGAGGCCCAGAGATCCAGGCCTGGAACCTGCGTTCACTTCAATGGTGCACAGCCCCGCTTTCTAAGGAGGCTGCAGAGCCAGGCTGCCCATCTGCCATGCTGATGAGACCTGAGTGCCATCTTACGCTGTACTGCCTCAATTATGAAACTAGAGAGGCCCAGTGCCCTCTTGTCTACAGAAACCTGGGGGGTTCCACACTGTCCCAAAAGGCGGCGCCAGCCTGCAGCAGGAAATGCGGCCCAGTGCCGGCAAAGGGGGAGATGCACGCAGCGCACTAAGGCGTGGCCTCAAGGGCAAAGGCATCTATCTCTTCAGTGAAGTTTGAACACAGTCTCATCTGCCACCTCTCCGGATGGACGTAGCCCAATCACTCATCTTTCACCTGCAACTTCATGGATATCTTTTAAAAACTAAAGACGTTACATGAACTTCTGCCGCATCTAAATTTATTTTTTGACAATACACCCACCTTTCAGTAAGAATGATGGATACTAATTATAAGAAATACACAAATCACCCGAAGCCTCATCACCGAGCAGGGAATCTCTTTCCAGAGTCTTTGTGCATAGGCCTGTGCACGCGACCTCACACAGACACATGAAATGATACCACACTGTGGTTTCCCCACCTTTATCCTTCACAATGGGACCATCATTCCACACGAACGTAGCTCTCCATCAGCTCTCTAATGTTCTCAAAGCATCCCGCTGTACCGAAGTTGGTAACTAACTTAAGCGCCCTGTTGAGAGCATTCCTAGTTATTCCCCACCATAGACTGCCAGCTCGTGTCGCTGCGGGTGTTTCCGTGCTGTGCACAGTCCCCTTGGCAGGGTGCTGGCTCTGGCCTCCGGCAGTCAAGAGTTCAAATCCCAGCTCAGGTACTCTCAGGCAGTGGGTTCCTGGGTTACTTACTTAGTTACTAAGTGTGGATGTTCCCTGACCCATATGGTGGGGTAAGAGGACAGCCTTGCTGTGATATCTCCAGAAACACTCCTCATTAGGTGCAGACAAAAGGGCTCCAATGTCAGCTGGTGTCATTAACCGAGGACGCCACAGTCAAAGGCACACACATTTTACTGCCCCCAAAGGCTTAACCGGATGCAGCCTGTTCCCAGTCTCAGGGTCGGGAAGTACTTGCAAGTGTTTCCAGCAGCAGAGGCAGGAGGAACACGTCCACAATGCCTGACGGCCCGGTGTTCACCGTCTAAAGAACCCTCAGCTGCTGGGGACCGAGGCCCAGCTCCGCCCTTTTCCTAGAGCGGTCAAAGCCAGTACACCTTGGAAGGGTTTCAAACATCAGCAGAACATTCCAACAGCAACAAAATTGGGATTACTGTCCTGCAGTGTTGTAAATTGAAATAAGATGGGTGTTTGCATCCTTTTTTCTTGAGAATAGACTTTCTGGATTTGAGTCTGTATATTGCATGAAGGCTGGAGGCCAGAGAGCAGTAGTGATTTCTATTCCCACCTTGGCATATACATCTTTTAAGGTACTGCAGAGCTAAAATGAGCAATTTGGATAAGTATCTCTTTGTAGAACCCAACATAACTTGAAAATATCATTAAGTCGAAAATGCATTTAATATACCCAACCTGTCAAATATCGTATTAATAGCTTAGACAAGTCTACCTTAAATGTGCTCAGAACAGTTACACTAGCCTACAACTGGGCAAAGTGATCTGGCCACGCGGTGCGCGCAGAGCGTAAGTTGTTTATCCTCGTGATTCCTGTCTGACTAGGAGCTGCCAAGCATCCCAAGAGTATTGTAGAGCATATCCTTGGCCTAGGAAAAGATCAAAATTCAATATTTGAGCCAGGTGCGGTGGCTTGCGCCTGTAATCCTAGCACTTCGGGAGGCTGAGGCAGGAGGATCGCTTGAGCTCAGGAGTTCTAGACCAGCCTAAGCAAGAGCGAGACCCCATCTGTAGAAGACATAGAAAAATTAGCTGAGTGTGGGGCACACACCTGTAGTGCCAGCTACTTGGGAGGCTGAGGCAGGAGGATCGCTGGAGCTCAGGACTTTGAGGTTGCAGGGAGCTATGACGATGTCACTGCACTCCAGCCTGGGAAACAGAGCAAGGCTGTCTCAAAAAATTAAATAAATAAATTCAAAATTTGAAGTATGTTTCTACTGAACATGTATCACTTTCATACCATCGTAAAGTTAAAAACTGTTAAGTAGAACCATTGTAAGCTGGGGACCATGTATATTTCAGAGGCATGTGGCACATGTTGTTAGGACAAGGATCACATCATTGAATTGTTAAGTCTGTAGTATCAGAATCTGGATATTAAGAAACTTATTTTTTTTTTTTTGAGACAGAGTCTCACTCTGTTGCCCGGGCTCGAGTGCCGTGGCATTGGCCTAGGTCACTGCAACCTCAAAATCCTGGGCTCAAGCAATCCTCCTGCCTCAGCCTCCCAAGTAGCTGGGACTGCAGGCATACAACAGCACCATGCTCGGCTAATTTTTTCTATATAGCTTTAGTTGTCCCGCTAATTTCTTTCTATTTTTAGTAGAGACGGGGTCTCGCTCTTGCTCAGGCTGGTCTCGAACTCCTGAGCTCAAACAACCCTTCCGCCTCAGCCTCCCAGAGTGCTAGGATTACAGGCATGAGCCACTGCGCCTGGCCAAGAAACTTCTTTTCAAAAGATAATTATTTTTAGAGACCTTCCTGGTAGCTAGAAATACAGGTGTGCACTGCCCCTCGAAAATTTTACTTTTAAATTTTTTTTGTGTGAAGGACAGGGTCTTACTACATTGCCCAGGTTGGTCTCCAACTCCTGGCCTCAAATGATCCTCCCCCCTTGGTCTTCCCAAGCACTGGAATTACAGGTGTGAGCCACTGCACCCAGCCTGAGAAACTTCTAAGATAACTAGCTTCGCATTTTAAAAATATAAATAAGAAATGAGACACGTAGGTAAGGAAGACAAGAAAAACGCTTACTCTGGAAGGAGAGTAATGATGCCCGAGGCAGCTTTGAAGTTGAGGATTTTCATCACTGAAGCGGCAAAATGCAAAGCAGGCATATGTCTTAGATTTATTAGCAAACTTTATAGGCCAGGAAGCCAACTTCAGAGTGAAGGTAATAAGAGGTGTTCTATGAAGTTCAAATAGATCGGCGCATCTACAGTAGCCATCACAATGATGGGTGCGGCCTCGGACTCCTCACCCACAAACCAGCAAGGAGACCAAGATACTTGGAGGAAGCAAACGACAAGAAGCAACCACGGCTCTCGCCAGTGTAACAGGAGTCTCGAAGCGACAGCGTCCATCATCCACGGGGTCCCTGAGGAGGGCACCCACGCAGTAGCCCCGGCTTCAATGCCCTTCCTGTCTACAGAAATGCACAAGCCTCCTGGCTCCACCAGCCCTCCCCGAGGACTAGCTGCGGACACCTCCCTACGCCACCCCCTCACTCCTCCCACTACACTGCACCCTCCTCACCACGGGACCATCTTCGCCTCTGTGTGCGGAGGACACCGCGGGTGGGGAGCGTCTACGCATCACACCCATCGCACACATTCCTGGCAGTGTACAGCGCTGGTCAAGAGCCCACCACTAGCCAGTCACTGGATCTCACAAGGTGATAACCTTTCTGTGCCTCAGTTTTCTCACTGGCAAATGGGAACAGTTGTGCTTTCCGCGTGACAGTGCATGAAGATGAAACAAGTGATGTGTAGGAAGTACAGCAATAAGACCTTCAGGGCCAGCTTCTCGGAACTTCTGAAATGGGTGAAACAATCACAACACAGCCGGGAATGAGACACAGTCCATAACCAAATGGAAGTGCAACCCCTAGGACAATGCAAACAGACACTGAACCAAACCTGAATTTCTTCATTAAAACTGAATCCAACGCAGTAAATGTTCCACAAAAAGAGACGAGGCTGCATTTAGAGAGAAGCCAGCCATACCACTTCAGGGCTGGTTCGAACGTCCTTAAGCTTTTGCCCTGCAGTGCTAGCACCAAGGATGACAGGGACCTGCAGTGATTCCCACTAGAAGAGTACAACAGGGATACCCCACCACCGTGCAGGTGTGAGAAAGTCTGCCCTGAATCAAGAGGCTCTGAGCTGTCCCATTCGTGCTGGAGGACGGGATGAAATGTCACAGACAGGCCCCCGAGCAGACCCCACCTTGCCTGGACATCCTCACGGCTCCAGCTGAAGAGGAAGACATTGTGAGGTCCCTGGGACTGAGACATCCCCACTGAACACAGGCTGAGGTGCTTGGACCACACCACAAGCTCCCTGACCTTCCAGATCTTACTTTGTAGTGGAGGAAGGAAAACTTTTTTGAAATAACACTTCTAATTTCTATTGAGGTTTGTTTTTGGAGACAGAGCCCACTCACTAGCTGTATGGCACATGCCTGCACTTCGCTAAGCTTCAGTCTCCTCGCCCATGAAACTGGGCAAAGCCACCAGCTCTGCCCAGTGGGGTGAGAACCTGAGACAGGTGGAAAACTGAAGTTCACAATCACTAACACCTGCACAGACTGACCAACGTGAACACTCCACTCTCAAAGGCTCCTTCACTGACCCTCAGATTAACCAGCTCCACGTGGCCTGAGGCCAGCAGCACCGCACTTCTCCAGAGAGGCTTCCTTGCCATATTTTACATTCCTTGTTATAATTTCACCATCTTCACACGCCACATCATGGCATTTACAAAGCACTTCACATAGCTCTTGGGATAGAAGCCACACCTCGAAAAGAACACCCATCTCCAGACTCCTAGGCCCTACGATGGAGAGGTATCATCCCCCTTAAGAAAGAAGCCCCCTTAGAAGCAGGTCCCCCTTTTGGTCACCTAGGCCCCGGACATTTGATTTTCCATACCCTCTTCCCCGAGACTTCTGTGATCACAACTGCAAAAGGAAGTAGAAAATGTTTTAATAATATGGCAATTTCACTAGAAAAAAGTATTGTGATTTAATAGTATTAACCTGACAGGCAGAAAAACAGGGAATTGTGCTCAATGAGTTTAACCAACTTCTCTCTACTTAGCACCAATTACACTTCATTCAAGAGGGAGAACCACAAAAAATATGCAACCAACAGATTTCTTTTAGGGCTTTCTATAACATACCTCGTTTTGAAGATATGTTCCTAAAACACTTGTAAGTTGTTTTCCAAAAGATTATACTTTATAAATAAACTCAACAAAGGCTTCTCCCCTTCCTTTAGAAAACTCTTATGTTTAAGATAACAGTTTGCATGTAGTTATTTTTAAAAAATCGCTAAGAGTCCCTATGAAGATGCTGGTAGGGATGGAAGAAAGAAGGGAAGAAAGGAGGGAGGGAAGGGACCCAAAATTAGGCTACATCAGAGAACGAGAAAGCACTGTCTGAGAGCACGCTGGGCAGAACGTCCACGTGCAAACCCACGCCCTTTCCACCGACTCACGTGTTACACTGACAGACTGGATTTACATTAAACTTTGTAAACTGAAATTCTTATAGCAGGGGGATGTGTGAGTTATCATTAATTCAAGTTCTGCTTTATCAATTACCAACATGCCAGACACGATGTGACAAACTGGAGGTGCAGGCGTAAGACACTGGTTCTGCCAGGAGTTCAAGGCTGCAATGAGCTACAGTTGAGCCACTGGGCTTGAGCCTGTGAGACAGACCAAGAGCCCGTCTCTCTCTCTCACTCGATCAATCCGTATGTACACACACACACACACACACACACACACACACACACACACACACGTACGTGCATGTGCTGGCTTTGTCCTCCAGGGTGCACAGCATGGCTATTTAAGTGCTGGGAACTGCCTGTTCCTTGAACGAGAGAGACTTTAAGGACAGTGCCGAGGGGACTGCTGGGGAACACAACCATGCCGTGGTCTGCCTGCCGCCTTCTGGACCTCTCCACACCAGCGGCCCCGGGCTCCCTCCCTGGGCTCTTCTCTTTTCTACCCACACTCAGACCCGAATGGTCATCTGAGGAGGCCTCCCACACAACTCCATCCTAGGCCTATTCCCTTAGCTCCAAACCTGTAGATCCAAAAGCCCTCTGGACATCGCTACAAGGATGTCCAACAGGCACCTCACACTTAACACATACAAATCAAACTCCCGACACAGAGCTCCCTATCAGGCAGGACCTCCCCAAGCCTTTCCCATCTGAGTCTCTTAGCTCAGGCCAGGAACCGTGGCGCCATCTTTAACTTCTCCCTCTCTATACATCCTACTCCCAACTTCCAATCTATAAAAAAATCGTATCGTCTCAGCCTTCAAAACACCCCCAGAAATCAACCTCTTCTCCACTCCCTGACCCAAGCCTCCCCATCTCATGGCCTGGCTTACTGCAGCAGCCTCCTAACTGGTCTCCTTGCTTCTGCCCTTGCCCCAGTATAGTCTCCACAGAGATGCCAGCGCAATTCTGTTAAACATAAGTCTGATCATGTTACGCCTCCTCTCAAAACCTTCCAGACGGTCACCATCCTATTCAGAATAAACATGTAGTCCTCACTGTGACCTAGCAAGGCCTTGTGGTCGGGCCTACGTCACCTCTCCGCTCTCAGCCCCTGCTTCTCTCATCCACCACTGCACCCCCAGGCCCACCAGCTTCCTGTACTCCTAGATCAGCCACTTGCCCTACCTTCTGCACTGCTGGGGTCTTGGTCAGAACTTAACCTTTGAAGTAAGACTTTTCCTGGCCATCCTGTCCACAATTCTAATCCTCCTCCTGCTTGGCCCACATCACTCTGCCACATGAGCCACACACCTTGCTGCTTTCTGCTGGTCTCATGTCTAGGATGTCAGCTAGCCCAAGGCAGTGGTTTCTATTTGTCCACTCCTCCAGTCCTAGAGAACAATGGCTGGCACGCAGTAACAAATAGTTTATTGAGTGAATGACTGTAAGAACAAACAGAAACTATATTACACATGCTCAAGGCAGGCAGAATTTTCAAGGACTCTAACGGTCAGAGGAGGGTGGACCATTAATCATTCCTGAAAGGATGTACAGCATCATGTCAGATGGAAAACTCCCTACCACATCCTAAAACAGCATATGTTTTTATGAGCATAAACAGGGCCTCAAATGAAAAAAACCTTTTCTACTTTGATCCCAGAAGTAGCAGCATTTCCTATTCAGTATCGTCATGTGACTACACAACTGTATTCCTAACTTGAACATAATGGTTTTCAGATTTAAGACAATGACCAATATCAAACTGTTCTCACCTTCACCAAGTCTCTCATATGAATAGACTTACATATCCAAACAATAATAACTAAAAAGAAATAGTACAACAAATAGTTGTAAAATATTATACAACAAATAGTATATAATTGCAAATAGTACAAGTGTCTAGTACTTACTCTAAAAAACAAACTTCACAAAATACATATCTGTCAGCACGCTCCTTTGGGGAGTCAGGGCTCCTGCTTCCTGCAGCCATCTAACACATTTAAGTGATGAGATGCCACAAATCACGAAACAAACATTGGCCATACACATTACATTTTCCAAACTAAAATCTTAATAAGTTTGTGTTGCAGCTGCCAAGAAAAGAAAGAGGAAAAACAATGCCATTCGGGATGACAGATAGAATTAAACCAGATGAAAGTCTTCCTTCACAGATGGGGACCGTTGAGGGGCGGTAAGTCGGTTTCTGTAAGTAATGAAAGAAAGAACTAATACCGCTATGTGAAAACGTACCTGGGGCTACTGGGCAAGTCATGGGTTTGGTACCGACTTAAGTCTCCAAAATATCTTGGCAGCAAAAAATTGTCTTCTGTTGGCTTGGACAGAAGCATGATAGGACAGGCAAAAACATCAACACGCGCATCCTGCCTCCACTATCTATCAGGACCCCAGGAAATTAAGACGTCGTGAGTTGGATTCGCTGTTTCTCTTTCCCATCACAGAAAAAGACTCTTGGACGCTGTGATTACTGAAACATGTTTCTGGCCTCCAGTCTACCAGTAACTTCGTAAAAGTTAAAGTTTCCACTCCTCCACTCCCAGCCGGGAAGGCCAAGCTGTGGCCGATCGCTCGCGTCCACACCCGCACTGCTGCAGCCCTCCCGGCGCGCTCGGGCGGCCGCCGCGCCTCTCCCCGGCCCAGCAGGCCCGCCGCCCGCCACGCCAGGCCAGAGCTCGGGCCTGCCAAGCCCGTAATCCCGGGCGCTCACGCCGGGGCGGACAGGCCCCAGCAGCTCCAGCGTGACGGACCGTCAGGTGCGCGGCCGAGAGGCGCGGCCAGTCCCCGGGGTCCCCCTCCCGCTCCCACCCGTCGTAAACGCCGCCCGCGCCCCCGCACCGCCGAGCCCGGCCCGCCCTGCGCGCCCCACAGCACGTCACGCCAGCCCGGGCCCGGGCAGGCCAGGCCGAGGGCGCGGCCAGCGCCTCCCGCAGAGGACCCGGCCCAGGCAGCTCCTCACCTGCATCCATCTTCCCCGTCCGGCCGCCGACTGACCCGAGCGCCGTCGCTCCGACCGGCCCGCAGCGCGACGCGGCGACCGAACGCCGCGGGGGCCAATCGGGACGCAGGCGCCGGCGGGCATCCGGCGCAGGGCGGAAGTGCGCGGGCGCCGCCATCTTGGCGTACGGCCGGGCCGCCGCCGCAAGCCCTGCGCCGCCGGGCGGGTTGTCTGGGGACGTCTCGTGGGCCGGCGGCTCGCTCTGCTGCCCGACGGGACACTGCGCTCGCCACGCGCGTCGCTTCCTCCACTCAGAGGACGCAGGAGCAGTCATCGATGCGGCGGAGGTCAGCTCGGTGCCCGCCGGGGCGGCCATCTTGCCGTACGGACGGGCCCCGAAGCGCCCATGTCGCCGTACGGATTCCCCCCGCCGGGGCGGCTCCCTCGCCCGCCGCCGGCCCGCCTGCCGACGCTTCGAGGGGCCGGCTGCTCCCCGCTGGTCGCGGAGACGCCCGAGCGCGCGGCGGGCGCAGGCGCGGGCGGGGGCGGGCCGCGGCGGGCGCCCGCGCCGCCATCTTGCCGTACGGCGCGGACGCCGCGGGCCGGCCCACGTCCCGAGCCGTGTCGCCGCCGCGCTCCCTCCCTCGGGGCGGTCCGCGGGCGGGCGGGCGGCGAGGGCCGGAGCCTGGCGGCGCGGCTGGGCCGAGGCCCGCGATGGTGATCTGCTGCGCCGCCGTGAACTGCTCCAACCGGCAGGGCAAGGGCGAGAAACGCGCCGTCTCCTTCCACAGGTACGCGAGCGCCGCCGCCCCGGCCCGCCACGCCCCCGCCCAGCCCGGCCCCGCGGGGAAACTGAGGCCGCGCGGCCCGACCGAACGCTGGGGGCGCGGTGGCGCCGGGCCTCGGCAGCTCCGGCGCCTCGAGTGAGTAGGCGCGGGCGGTGGGCGCGGGCGCTGTGTGACCTTGGTCCGGGCCGCCGTCTCTGGGCCGGGCGCCTCGGGCCGGCGCGGCCCCCGGGCCCCTCTCCCCCGGCGGTCTCCGCGCCGCCCCGCGCGCCCGCCCCGGCCCCGCGTCTTCCCGCGCGCTGTAGGTGTGGGCCGCGCCGCCGGCGTCCAGAAGCCGCGGTTCGGCAGTCGCTGCTCCGCGGCTGACGGTGCCGGGTTCGCCCGACTGTGCGCTCCGGCCCGCCCGGCGCCGGCTGCACTTCCTGAGTCGCAGGCCCTCCGGAGCCGGCGCGGGGTCCCGCAGCCCGGGCCGCGCCGTGCGGGAGAGGCCGCGGGCGGCGCATCCCGCCGGGCAGGGCCGAGCTCGGACCGACTCCCGCGGCAGGCCCGCTCCCCGCGGGGCCTGTGGACGCAGCGATCCATTGAGCCCGTGTCTGTCTGCGGCTTTTCATGCGGGAGCTTCCAGAACAGCGGCCCGGAGGAACTCCGCTTAAAGAACAAACCCCTTCGAGATATTTCTGTTCTGTGTCGCATGGTGGTTTGTAAGTTTTAAAGACAGGAATGGCACGTGCTATTTATAGTGGTTCTGAAAGTTCCCGGTGGTTGCTCTAAGCCTTGAGTCGTTGCAGTCTATCAGAACTAGTAACTTCAGATTATTTCAGCCATCGGCCAGCGTGCCTTCTTGACAGCTTCCTTTAGAGCGTGTGTCCCACGAGGTCTGTTACTGTTCGTGAAAATGAGGCAGAGCACTGCAGTGGTCTAACGTGGAATCGGGGGCAGAGGACGCGGAATTGGGCGGGGGTGGGGGTCTTTGGAATCGGCGCACAAAAGATTGAAAAAGGAGGTTAGAAGGTCATGTTGCTTAGAACTTCCTAGGATTTGTTCTGGTCCTGGTCCACAGCGGCCTCTGGTGGGATAGAGGACCTCGGGTGCAGTAAATAGCAGTGAGGAACGACTGCCCTGATCCCTCATCCTGCGCATCATGTGCAGTTTGGGTTTTTTTTTTTTTTAAGTTAGAGACAGGGTCTCACTGTTGGCTGGGCTGGAGTGCAGTGGCCCAGTCATAGCTCGCTGTAACCTGGAACTCCAGGGCTCAAGCGATCCTCCCACTTCAGCCTCCTACTGCCAGGACTATAGGCCTGCACCACCATTCCCAGCTATGTTTGTGTCTTTGTTTTTAAGAAACTGGGTTGAGTTGCTGGTGCTGGTCTTGAACTCCTGGCCTCAAGCAGTCCTCCTGTCTCGACCTCCCAAAATGCTGGGATTACAGGGGAGAGCCACTGTGCCTGGCCAAGTCTGTTTTCTGAAATACAGATCTTGCCTCAATGAAGAAATCGTCACTAAGTATCTTTATTAGGTAATAAAGGAGAAAATGGTTAAATATCTTATTCAGCATCTTCCAGGGCTGGTTGCTTTTTTTCTCCTAATTTTTTTATTATGGTAAATACATAAAACATAAAATTTACTACCCTAACCATTTTTCAGTGTGCAGTTCAGGGGCACATTATTGTGCAACCATCACCACCACCATCTCCAGAATTCTTTTCATCTTGTAAAGCAGAATCTCGGCACCACACTAATTCCCCATAGTACCCTCTCCCCAGCCCCTGTCACCCACCGTTTACCTCTGTCTCCATGAATTTCAGTACTCCAGGGACCTCATGAGGGAATCACGGTGACTGGCGTGTTCCACTCAGGACAACCTCCTCAAGGTTCATCTGGCTGGTTGACTTTTTTTTTTTTTTTTTTTTTTTTTTTTTTGAGACAGAGTCTCACGGTGTTGCCTGGGCTAGAGTGCCGTGGCGTCAGCCTAGCTCACAGCAACCTCACACTCCTGGGCTCAAGCGATCCTCCTGCCTCAGCCTCCCGAGTAGCTGGGACTACAGGCATGCGCCACCATGCGCGGCTAGTTTTTTTTCTATATATTTTTAGTTGTCCAGGGTCTCGCTCTTGCTCAGGCTGGTTTCGAACTCCTGAGTTCAAACAGTCCGCCCACCTCGGCCTCCCAGAGAGCTAGGATTACAGGCGTGAGCCACCGCGCCCGGACTGGCTGGTTGACTTTTCAAGGGAGCAGTTTTACTTCTGGTAGTGGAAGTATAGCAGGAACACAGAACTACAGCTTTTGAATCTTACCTTCCAGAGGCTGTTCCCACGTCCTCAGCTGCTTGAGCCGTGGCTGGTGCTGTCCCTATGCCAGCTATCTGGGGTGCTCCCATCTCTGTGGGGTGACACCGGCCTGGCTTCTCAGGAGGGGCCTCAACCATCCTGGTTTTAGTGCCCCAAGTCCTGCCCTCCAGGCACATTGGAAGGGTTGGTCAGCTATTAGCTTCTAGGAACTGCTTCGTGCTGTCCTGATGCCATCCTTGCTATTGGTAAGCATCCTGCGTCCCTGTGGGGCATTTACAACAGCCTGGGAGGAGTCACTTGCCTTCTTTTCTGTCTGCCCCACAGACTGTGAACTCCTTAAGGGTAGACAGTGGATCTTTCATCTTTTTGTTCCAATAATGTACAAGTAGAAGGTATTTCTTAAATTCATATTATTTTTTAAGCAGATGAAGTCAGTGTAGGTTTGGGTGTTTACAAAGCTTTGTTTTGCTTTTATAGTTGATAATTCTAGTGGGAAACATTTAACTGGTTTCTAACTACTTTGTTATTTGTCCTGCAGGTTCCCCCTAAAGGACTCAAAACGTCTAATCCAGTGGTTAAAAGCTGTTCAGAGGGATAACTGGACGCCCACGAAGTACTCATTCCTCTGCAGTGAGCATTTCACCAAAGACAGTTTCTCCAAGAGGCTGGAGGACCAGCACCGACTGCTCAAGCCCACGGCTGTGCCGTCCATCTTCCACCTGACTGAGAAGAAGAGGGGCGCTGGAGGCCATGGCCGCACCAGAAGAAAGGACGCCAGCAAGACCACGGGGGGTGTGAGGGGCCACTCGAGCACAGCAGCTGGTAAAGTGGCTGCAGGTTGGTCATCATCCTCGAGTGAAAACCTCATGGCCAAGCCGGAGTCCCGCAAGTTGAAGCGAGCCGCTATGCAGGGCGAAACCGCACCCAGGGCTGCCCGGGAGGCTGCCAGCCAGGAGCTGGCACAGCAGTCTCTGGAAAGAACTCCAGGAGATGGACCGGCCACCACGGCGGCAGGCAGCCAGGCAGAAGCGGAAGTGTCTGCTGCAGATGCTGGTGATGAGAACACCCCCTCCTCCACCAGTGGGGGTGTGGCAGATAAGAGTGGCATTTCCATGGATGACTTTACCCCCCCAGGATCTGGGGCGTGTAAATTTATTGGCTCACTTCATTCGTACAGTTTCTCCTCCAAGCACACTCGAGAAAGGCCGTCTGTCCCCCGAGAGCCCATCGACCGAAAGAGGCTGAAAAGAGATGTGGAGCCGAGCTGCAGTGGGAGTGGTCTGGGGCCCGACAAGAGCCTGACCCAGAGCCCCCCCAGTTCCTCACTCACAGCGACACCTCAGAAGCCTTCCCAGAGCCCCTCTGCCCCTCCAGCCGATGTCACCCCGAAGCCAGCTGCAGAAGCTGTGCAGAGTGAGCACAGTGATGCCAGCCCCATGTCCATCAATGAGGTGATCCTGTCAGCGTCAGGGGCCTGCAAGCTCATCGACTCGCTGCACTCCTACTGCTTCTCCTCCCGGCAGAACAAGAGCCAGGTGTGCTGCCTTCGGGAGCAGGTGGAGAAGAAGAACGGCGAGCTGAAGAGCCTGCGGCAGAGGGTCAGCCGCTCCGACAGCCAGGTGCGCAAGCTGCAGGAGAAGCTGGACGAGATGAAGAGAGTGAGCTTCCCCTACCTGAGTGGCCTGCTGTGCCCCAGTCGCGGTCAGTACCAGAGCGTCTGCCGCTCCCACACTTCCTTCCCATTAGGAGGGGTTTTTCTGCAATGTGGCTGACATCCCCCGAGTGTGTCCGTGGGGCGTGTACGCCCTGTGGTCTCGGGAGGAAGCTCTGGTAGCAGCCGTAGCTTGTGGACGAGGGACCTAGGTTAGAGAGCTCACCTCACTTGCTCCCGGGCACGTGAGAGGCATCTCTATATTTTGGGATTTAGGTGAAAAGGAGGCATTTCACGTCAACAGGGAAAGCCTGCACTGCTCAGTGGAAGGTGGGGGGAGGTAGCTTCTGTTGCATACTTTACACAAACATCAACTGCAGGTGAGTTGGATCTAAATGTGAAATAAAACAGATGAGGTAAACTATTGGGAAAAATATAAGAGACTTCTTAAAACCATGAGAGATTCTTTCCATTCATGTTTTAATGAATATCTTTGACGTTATCATTTTGAACATTAATAATTATTCCTTTTAGCATCTATTCAGTGTTAACATCTATGCATTCTCTGTTGTAAAAGTTAAAACACTACAGAAATATATAGGCTAAGAAATGGCAAAAATTCCCATTTCTCATCCACCTTCCCCTCCCAAGGTTTTTTTTGTTTGTTTTGTTTTGTTTTGTTTTACATATAGACGGGGTCAGTCACTGTATTGCCCAGGCTGGACTCAAACTCCTGGGTTCATGCCATCTTCCCACCTCAGCTGCTTCATCTCCTAAGTTTCATTCCTTTCTGCTATTGAAAATTCGGCGTATAATCTTTTAGATTATTTACTGTGCTTTTGCATACATGTCTGTATACGAGTAGGTTGAGTATAATTTTATGTTTATTGGCTCTATTTTTCCCCACTTTACTGTCAAGTATTTGTTAAAATTGGTTTCTGGATGTTCTTTATGTATTAAGGGTAGCATCCTTTGCCTGGAAAGGCAAACATTACGGAAAACGTTTTTGCTGCCACGCTGTTCATTCTACCTGGACCAGTGTTTGTCAGAGAGGATGGTGAAGATTTCTGGTGGGATGAAGTGGGCAGGGCCTGCTGGGTCCCGACAGCAGCAGCTACCAACACGTGGGCTAGAAACAAGGCCCATCGATGTGTTTCCGGGCACCCTGGGAGAGAAAGGCCCCACTGGGTGCCATTCATCTAGATTTTCAGATCAAATCTAAATTTTCAGATTTTCAGACGCTGTATTCTCTTAGCATTTTTAAGCTGTCTTTGTAGTTTCTCATGCCTGATGCTGCTTTTGGTAGCTTTTTTTCTGTTCCTTTTGGTCTAACTTCCTAGGTTGTCACTGCTGCATGTCTTTCCAGGCAGCCAGCCTTCACCTCTGCCTGGCTGTCTGTTTCCTGATCCTCCCTTCTTTCTCTGCTCCTCCTTTCTGCCCTGTTGTCCTGGCTCCAGGCACGTTTCTCACACCTGCAGTTGAGGCTGTGAATCTCCTACCCCGCTGGCTACGTGCCTTGTGCTGCTCCTGTTGCTGTTCAAGTCTACGTGGTTTGTAATTTCAGTCTTGGGTTCCCCTTTAACCCTACAGTTATTTAGAAGGGTATTGGCAGATTTTTAAGTTGATAGATGGGAGAGGGGAGCTAATTGTTTTGTAGTTATTTTTAAATTTTATTACATTAAGATCTAATATGATCCCTTAAAGAGTTCTACTTTTTGTAATCTTTTGAGATTTCATTATGGCTTAATACACAGTCTGTTTTATGAGTGTTGCATTGTGGCTTGAGAAGAATGTATCCTCTCTACTCATCGGGTACATTGTTCTCTGTGGTGCAGAGGCTGGGATCTTGATACTTGCATCAGCCAACGGGTCTGTGTGGTAATTCTTGCTGGGTACTCGGGCTACTGGTTTCTGAGAAGGTACGTAGGTCTCTGATTCCCGAGGAGCCTGTTGTCTGTCAGGTTTTGCTTCATGTTCAAGACCACGCTGTTCAAGGCGTGGTTTCCGCACTGTTACTGACACAGAAAAACCTGCCTTGTCCCATTTAACCTCTTATTTCTTTATCTCATTTTCAACTTTTTCATGTTACTTTATAATTATATTTTTAATTTAATCTGAGAGCTGCTGTCTTTATAATCTACTTGCAATTGTGATTACTAATAAGCTAGAACTTGGCCTGCCTTTTTATTTTTTAAATTTTTAAGCTTTCTCATCATTTCTTTTTTCTTCTAGTAGATACCTTTCAGCTTTAAAAACAAACAAGTAAGCTCATCTTTCTGTAAGTGTTTAGGGCGGGTCAGTTCTCACGTGAACCCTCCCTGGGTCGAGTCTGTTTGGGATCTTAGTTCAATATTGTTCTTATTTTTACCCCCATCAGGCAATGATAATTATTTAGATTTAAGTATACATCTTACTGGTTACTTTATTCACTACCATTTATTGTATCCAAGCTTGTCCTTTTTGGAATTTTTCTTTTTCTTTTTGAGGCAGGGTCTCACTCTGTCACCCAGGCTGGAGTGCAGTCATGCAGTCGATGCTCACTGCAGCATCAAACTCCTGGGCTCAAGGACTCCTCCCGCCTCATCCTCTTGAGCAGCTGGGACTACAGGTGTGCATCACCACACTCAGCTCATCTTTAACTTTTTTGAAGAGACAAGGTCTTACTGTCTTGCCCAGGCTGGTCTCAAATTCCTGGCCTCAAGTGATCCTCCTGCCTTAGCCTCCCAAAGTGCTGTGATTACAAGTGTGAGCCACAGTGCCCAGCCCTTTTTGGAAATGTTTAATGCCTTTTTAGGAATCCATATGCCAGTAAAATTTTGAGAGATAATCAGTTTGTAGTTGTCAGTTTTTCCGTATGTCTGAGTATTCAAATGGTAGTTTGGTTGAGAACACAGCTCTAGGTGTTGAACCCTTTCCTATCTTAACCTAAAGGAATCATCTCTTTGCCTTCTGTGCAGTTCTGCTGTCTGATGCAACAGGTTAGAGTCGGTTCGTTTGTGGGAGACTGCTTCTTCCTCCAGAGGTGGGCAGGGTTTCTTTTTGTACCTGGTGTCTGCAGTGTCACCAGCTTTGTCTGCTGGGTCTCATTACTTTCATTTACTTATGGGCCCTTTTGATCTGAAGGCTCGTTGCTTTTTAGGTGTGGAAAATTTTCCTCATTGTTTCCTTGATTATTTCCTTCCGGTGTGTTCGGAATTAATAGGATGGTTTTAAGCGGGGAGCAGCCTGATGTGGTTTAGGTTTTGCAGACCCCCCCCAGCTGCTATGGAGGAAAGGTGACAGGGGACTTGAAGGAGGTGGAGGGGGCTCTGGCGACTGCCGTGGGGCTCCGAGGGTAGGTGGCGATAGCTCCGACTGGTGGGGTGGCAGTGGTGGTAGGCATGCTGTGGGACTCACTAGGCAGAGTGGAGAAGGAAAAGAGCGACTCTGATTGTAAGGCCACCTGCTGGATTTGGGCTTGAGCGCCTGGGTGCATGGCGCTTCTGTGCACTGTGGTGGGGAAGGAGCAGGCAGGTGGGGTGAGGAAGAGTTTGAGATGCTAATGCCGGGTTTTGAACGGGCAGCCCGATGCCAGCACCCAACCTGTTAGAGCTGGGTGTGTGGGTCTGGAGCGTTGGGGGACAGAGGCGTTTGAAGCCCTGGGCACGGGGGCAGCTGATGCAGGTCCAGGAGAGGAGACTGAGGTGACCCAGAAAGGAGGGCACGCAGCTGTGTTGCGGACAGTGCTGGCCACCACGAGGTCACTGGGGACCAAGTCTCACTGACTGGTGGGGTGTGGAGGGGTACAGGAGAGGGCTGGGGACAAGGCACTTCTTTAAGAGGTTTAACCATGAAGGGGAGTTGGACAAGCGGCCAGTAGCCAAGAGGGAAGGTGGCTCCAAGGGAGGACTGTGGTCCCTGAGAGGTGCAGGGCTGGACTCCAGAGCAGCCTGGGGAGGGGCGGAGAGAAGCGGACCACTGCCCACTCCCCTGGGAGCTGCCCCGGGCACTCTCTGCTGTGTGTAAGGCCGAGGGCTGGAAAGGTGCAGGAGATGTCAGGACACCGGGTTCTGGGAGGGAGAGGCATGCCCCTCCACCTGTGGTCCGTGGTCTGTGACGTGTCCTCAGAATGTCTGCTCCCTTTGTGGTTCTCAGTGCTAATATGGGTTTGTTCTCTGGTGAAAGAATCTTTGGGTCACTTTTTAGGGATTTATGTGGAAAGGGGGATACACTTATTTATTTAGTCCATTATCTTTAGCCAACCCCTTTATTTATTTTTGTACAAGTTCCCTGGAGTGAAGGAGCTGGGCCCGTGGTCTTCAGAGGTTAGTCCAAGGTGTCCTCCCAAAGCTGGTGCCAAGTGGTATTCTCATGGGGGATGGGCACTCTTGTCCCTAAGCCCTCTCTGACACTGGGCATTACGACGTTTTAAAACCAGGGACAGGCTGGGCACAGTGGCTCAGGCCTGTGGTCCCAGCCACTCGGGAGGCTGGGGCAGCAGGATCACCCGGCCCAGGAGTTCAGCTGCAGTGAACTATGACCCTGGCTCTAAAAAAGCCTCCCCCAAAGGAGGACGGTTCCTTGAGGATACACTGTTTGCGTTTCTATGACCCGCGAGGGGACATTTGTGTCTGTTCATTGTTTAGCTTCTTCCTGACCATGCCTTTCCCACCTTGCTTACTGACTGGGAATGCTCTTCATAAAATAAGGTGCTCATGGCTGTTAAATGCGATTCAGCCATTTGACTTGCTTCAAAAATTTGTTTTCTTTTCATTCCTTGATAGATTCATTATCTACATAGAATTTTTGAATTAATCTGGATTTTCAAATTTTTGTGAAAAACCTTGAATGTTACAAATTAAACAGGGTAGTATAATAAACCCCCATACCGTCCTTTGCTTCAACACTTAGCGATATTCTGAAGTTCTTGTTTTGTCTCTACTTCTACCTACTCCCCAACTTCTGCTGATTGTTCTTTTAATTAATAGATTTTAATTTTAATTTTAATTTTTAATAGTTTAAGTTTTAATAGATTTAATTTTAATTTTAATTTTTAATAGTTTTAGATTTA